ACATAAAGTACTTAACAAAAAAAAAAATCATTGCACACAAATTCTGAAATGCTAACTGCACTCGTTTGCTTGCTTGCTCGCTCACTCTAGCCAAACTCTTTAATAGTGTGGCTCGCTCTCTTTTCCTCTCTCCCTGTCTCCCTGTCTCATGTCCACGAGTGGGGTTACTGACATTGCAGCAGCCCGGCAGAGAGCAACGTAGACATCGGTGCAGAGCAGAGTAGAGATGATGATGATGATGTGTGAGTGGGGCTACCGTTGCCAAGTGCAGTGTGTGTGCCATTCTGCTCTAAGTGCGTCGACGTCGCCAGCAACGACATTAACTTTCTGCATGCCTTTTTGGCTTTTATTGCTCTCTGCTTCGTTCTACACTTTTGCCTTCTTCAATGCGCCTCTCCTGTCCTCTCCTCGCTTCGCATCGCATCGCCTCGCCTAGCCTCGCTTCGGTTCGCTTTCGTTTTGGATTTGGCGCCAAAACAAATGACACGAAGAGTAGCCTAGCTAGCCGTACACAACCGTTAGGGTTCAAAGAACTCTTGTCTAATTACGATGCACTCACAACTCTCGCATATGGCATATCCATAACAAATTTAATACTATTACGTGTGTGTGTATATGAGCGCGACTCGCTCTCGCTCTTACGCATGTTTTTGCATTCAATTTGGCAGCAGCAGCAGCAACGACTGCATTGAGATCAGATCGTGTCATTGGAAGTGTGAGTGGGATACGAGCTTATAGTTTATGTGTGCCAAACGGAATATTCCAATTAACAAAAGCAGCAGCAGCAGGATCAACAAAAAAATAAATACAAGCAGTGCTGTTCTGAAATTAATTTTCGCGAAATTTAACGAAAAGGAAATTTTGGAAGAAATAATAAAATTCATACCGTGTGAGTACAGAGATAAAAATCCATAATATTCCATATAATTTCCATCAGTGTAAATACATATCAATTTGTGTGGAAATATAACTGGGAACGAGAGCAACAACAGCTAGAATATTCATGCACGTGTGTGTACCATGCATACATATGTACATATGCCAAAATGCAGTCGTCTCTGAACCACATCATAAAATGCAACAATAAAGACAATGCAGATGCAGATGATAATGATGATACAAACGATGCTGATGGCAATTGACAAAGCACTCACTCACATACACTCTCTCATAAACACACACACACACACACGTTCACTCGCACATGCACATGCAATGCAGATGGGAATATTTTTGGCAATGCTCGAAACTACAATAAACAGATAACTGTAATAATGCTCGACTCTCCACCAGAATTGCCCAGTTGTGTATTTTTTTTTTATTGTTTGCTTGTTTGCATTTGCGGCCAGTTAGATCTCAAATGAACCGTACTATGTAGTATATGTTGCAGTGGGACATTGAGACTATGGCACAGTTGTGGGCAAATAATTAGGGTAGGTTTAATCATCAATGGGCTGTGGTAAAAGTTTACATATAAATGGCATGGAAATGGAGAGCCGAGTGTGGAGTACAATCCGATGTCTGATCTTATACTATTTTTGCTGCACGCCACTGTAACTACAGCCAGAAGCTGTGAATTACACTCAAAAGAATATGGTTTCCCATCAACTAAGCCAGACAGACAGTCGGGCGGCGGGCGGACAGACGTGACGTGGGTGTACGGTGTACGGTTAGATTTACTTAAGCACGCATCGGTAGCAGCAGAGCAAAGCCCCCGCCCCGCCCCGCCACTCTTTCCCCTGGCTCACTCGTAATACCTTTTGCTGTGACTAAGCACACACAGACACATAGAGATAGGAACAGAGAGAGAGAGAGAGAGCAAGAGAGAACACTCCCACAGAGTGTCTCCCCTGCCCTGCCCTGCCCCCCATCTGCCTTATGCTGCAACGCATGAACAAATATAGAAGATGTGCAGTTATTTACATAAAAGCTTTACAAATATGTGCACAAGCTTTGCTCGCGTTTCTGGGTGTGTGTGAGCATATGTCCAACTAATCACGGGCTCAACTTTTTAAAGCCACGCGTTGAGCCCTGAGCCCCTGAGCTCCTAGCTGAGCCTGATTTTGAGCTTGAGCTTGAGCTTCATACGTCGTCAGCTTGGCTGATGTTCTGCTTCTTCAAATTAAACATTCTCGCTGTTAAAAAAAACTGTACCAGACACTATGTCTATGTCTCAACCATCCACCACTCCCCCAGCCACAGTGCACCGATCCGACAGTTTTGTTCTGGATTTTTCCTAACAATTGCAAGAGGCAGCCTAGCAACCGAAAACCAGCAGAAAATCCAAAGCCCAGGCCACACAGTAATGAAAAGCAAAGTTGTACAACAACAGCAACAACAGCAACAAAAATACTGCATAAAAGATGGCTTAAATGCAACCGAATATCGGATACCCTTTGCAGTTGGGGTTAAACCGCAAACTATTATATTCCCTAAACTATTTCTATGCCACTAATATAAATAAACTTTAACAATTTATTAAAAATTCTAAAATTTCAATTTGTGCTAAAATTCGGTCTGGTAATCCCCCTAAATAGGGTATTTAAAAAGTGTAGAAAAAAGTTGAGGATGAAAAAAATAAAGCAATCATTGCACTTGTCCCTCCCATCGCACAGCAGCAGCAGCAGCAGCAGCAGCAGCGGCAGTGGCAGAAGGCAACACAATATGGCCAAGGCCTTTCCTTTTTGCCTCCGTTTTTTTCCTGATTCATTTCTGGTTGCTACGTTGCTTCAATTTAGCTTCATTTCGTGCCTCCCCGTATCCGTGTTCCTCTGTCTGCTTGTGTGTGTGTGTGTGTGTGTGCTAGCCCACAATGGGCGTGGCAGTCATTTCCCGCAATTACGCCTACACACAAACGACACAAAAAGGAGATGGAGATGAATGGTAAATGGGATAGGGTTGTAGAGAGAGAGGGAGAGAGAGTTTGGAGAATGGAGGACAGAGAATGGCTCTGCTTGTTGTTGGTTTGCTGGAAAGGAAGGCTCTGGCCACCTCCTGATAAGCCGTATCTGCCCACACAGAATGCAACAGCGAGCGATATGGCAACTCTGTGTTGTCAACTGCCACAAATACAGGCGCACACGTATACGTGTCATGCCCAGAAGTATGCAACACTTTTGAAATGAATTGAAACGGAGCCCGGTCTCGTTTCGGAGTTAGAGATGCAGCTCGAACTTCAAACCCTTTTTTTTTTGGGGGGGCTGGGCTGTGTTTGGTGGTGTGTTTGATATGGATGGGGGTGTGTCTATAGAGTTTGCATTCGTTTGATTGGGGAAAACAGAGATCTCTTTGGGCTGGAATCGATGGTGTATTAAAATACAGTTAAAACATTGATAAATATAAGTAGTAGTAGAGTTTGAAGAAAATTTAACTAAGATTAATTTTTGCAAAGTTTGAGACATTTTTAATTATATTTCAGTGCATAAATTAACTAAAAATGACTCAAAGGTATTTTAAAATAATATTATCCTTAATTTCTATAAATATAAAAGGTGAAAGATCTCCTTGGGAATTGTTCACTTTAACTAAAAATGTTCTTAGGAGCCTACTTCTGTGTTTATTAAAATCATTTAACACACAACTTTAAGGAACTCTTGTCTGTCTGGCAATTCCTTATGCGATTAGAGTTTACAAATGCTCCTCAGATTCAGGAAAATGTCGCCTAGCATTCGTTTCTTGAGCCTAACAAGAGATTCATTTCTCCCAGCAACGCCGCTCTCGTAGCGTAGGCGACTGTATAATCCATAAAGCTGCACCCTTTACCCTTTCCCCGGAGCCCTGCACCTCTTTAACACTTTTTTCCCAAGCCTCTTTAACCCTTTTCGCTCGTACTTGCACCTACGGCCCTGCCCTGCCACAAGTTCATCAAAGTCGAGGCTGCTGCTGCTGCTGCTGCTGCAATGTGTGTGTTTGTGTGTGCGTCTGTTGTGTGTCTGCCTGTGTGGGTGTATTTGTGGTTGCCAGATGATTTTGACTTTTTATGCAACTGTACTGTAAGTCCGTCCTTCCGTCTGTCACTCGTTTGCGATGGCTGACGGGCTGACTGTGTGTCTGTGACTGTGTGTGTTTGGCTTTGGCATAAAATGTTTCAAGTGTCATTTATATTTCATTTTTACTCTTTTTGAATGCTGGCAATGCTGCAGGCCCTTCGGCCCTGTATCCGAAACCAGAACCATAGACCCACAGACCAGACCCAGACCATTGGACGTCTGTGCAAATTAAAATGTTTCCGTTGTCGTCGTCTCACACATACACAGAGAAACGGAGAGACGGATAAAGGGGCTGGGGAAAGTGCAAGAGCGAGAGAGAAAAATCCAGATTCGGAGTCGAAGCTTTGGTACCATTTAGGAAAGAGTTTTTCCTATGATAATTTTTTTTTTTTTTTTTTTACAGATTTGTTGAAATTTCTTGAATCTATAAAGCCATTCCGATTGGAATTCTTATTCGCAGAGTTGTGAATCCACATATTGACCCGCTTAATACAAACTTTCGTTGTAATATCTTAAGAAATAATAAAGATTTTCTTCTCAAATATTATATAGTGATCTGATTTAATGCTCCGAGTGTCTGTGCCACGTCCTATTAGAAACCAATCGAATTTCTGGGTATTGCTGCAACCTTTTTCAATTGCAAACATCTGACATCAAAATCTTTATAGACCCCTCTACATAAAGAGGGTATCAAAGAGTGAAGGATGATGGGTTGGGGAGGGGAGGGGAGGGGCAGGATTATAGTGGAGCGTATATTTGTGTCGAGATTGAATTTTATTGCCTGGCAACGGGCAATGGGACGGGCGCCAATGGCGCGGGCAGTCGGAGCCTGGTGGCGGGTCGTCCTGCAGTGGATCGGGCAGTGGCAGGATGTCAGAGTTGTCAGGATGCGGATTACACTAATTATGAAATGACATCGACAACGGCAACGGCGACGGCGACGGCGACGTCGTTGATTTTAATGGTTTTCTGTTGTCAACTTAATTAACAAATTTTCTCTCGTTTTTGCAGGACCAAAATCGTGAAGAAGGAAGGATGCAGCAGCAGCAGTCCTCGATGAGGCAGTGGTTGTTGTTGGTGTTGTTGTTGTTGCAACACTGAAGACACACAGACACACATACCATAAAGACACACAGACACACAGACACACACACACACTAGCCTACATGTTGCACATGTTGCAGCAACAAAAATGCTCAGCGCTGCCAATGCAACAGCCACACATGCAGCAGGAGCTGGAGCAGCAGCAGCGATTGCCGCAACCGAAACTTATGTCATAACAAACAAGAAACAACAACAGCAGCAGCAGCAACAACAACAACAACATTTTGTTGTTGCCACCAACAAAATGTTGATACCTGCCACAGGAGCAACAACAACAGCAGCAACAACTACATCCACAACAGCAGCAGAAACAACACAACATCAGCAGCAACAGCAACAGCAACAGCACCATGTACTGTTTCAGCCGCACTTACATGCAACTGCAACAACATCCACACCTCAGCAACAGCAACAGGCACCACCTCAGCCGCGCCAACATCCCAAGAAGCGTAAATTTGATCCAGCAGAGCTGGACAAGGCCGAACAGCATCCCCAGCAGCAGCAGCAGCAGCATCTTGTGACGCTGCAGAAGCAACAGAAATCGGCTGAAACCAATGGCAGCAGCGAGACGACCAATGGCAATGTTGCAACATTGCAACAGCAGCAGCAGCAACAGCAACAGCAGCAGCAGCTACATCGCATGATTGTGAGTCCTTCGGCATTGAATTGCGGTGCAGGCGCCAGCGATATCAAGCTGCAACAGCAGCAGCAGCAGCAACGTATTATAATTGCATCCCCGCTGCAACATGCCAGCGGTAGTGGTACTTACAAGCAACATGTGGCATGCAGCAGCAGCAGCAGCGGAAGTAGCAGTAGCAGCAACAACAACAATGGCCATGCGGCAACAATCAATCATCAGCAACGCACACACACGCCCACAACTGCTGTCTACTACCAACAACAGCAGCAGCAGCAGCAGCAGCAGCAGCAGCAACAGCAACAGCAGCAACGTTTTATCTTAAACTCTCACAATCAGCAACATGTACAGGAGCAACATCCACAGCCACAACAACAGTCGTTGCAACAGCAACAGCAGCAGCCGCTGCAGCAACAACAATCCTTACTCGATCTCAGCGAGTGGAACAATACCCGTGTCCTAGCTAAAATCCATAATCATTATGCCCCAGGGATTATACGACAAGTGCAGGAGGCACAGCCCGATTCAATACTCGTGGAATTCGATTCCACCGAACTGGGACTGCTACTGTATCCGGATGTATTCCACAATGGACGATATCATGTGATACTCGATGCCAGTCCACCCATGGCAGATGTACGTATTCCCCACCCTACACCCCACCCCTCTAGTAAGCTATAAACTGTGAATCCTTTATTAAGAACAATTTCTGTTGTAATATCCATAGATCACGCTGGATGCCCGGGTCTGTGTGCGACAGCGTGTGGAGGGACGCAGCTCTGGTAGCTTCGTCTATGTGGAGGGCATCATCACGGACATCAATCAGGCCACAAAGCAATATAGTGTCCAATTGTTTGGCGATGATTCGGTATGTTCTTATGGGTTGGGATATTATTGCATTGATTTACAATTCAATTCCCCCCCACCATACTCTCAGGCCCCCACAAAGGTTGTGCGTCGTGCTGATCTCCGTCTGCTGCAGCCACCCTGGTGGGATGAGCTCAGCGAACTGTCACCCTCCTCGGGAGCAACAGCGACGACAAGTGGCAAGCGGAAGGCGGCAGCAGCAGCAGCAGCAACAGCCGCAGCAGCAGAGGCAATGCCCGTGCCCAGTGGCAACATTGTGTACCCAAAGGTGGCCACAGGAACACAACTTACTTTTGTGGCCACACGGTACGATGGCAAGCTGCCCACAGCACCGCCCACGACCACGTCCAGCTCCCAGCAGCAGCAGCAGCCGCATCTGAAACAAGAAGAGTATTACCGGTCGACGGCCACGTCGCCGTTCCAGAGCGGAGTGGTGCCAACGGCACGACCGCCCTTGGGGCTGGGCGGCCATGTGGAGCAGACGACCACCGCGGGGCAAACGGCGGTGCAGGCGAACGGCCTGCCGGACATAGTGATCTCTCCGGGAAGCAATGGGCAGCAGCACCTGAAAACCCAACAGCAGCAACAGCAGCAGCAGCAGCAGCAAGCGACGCGTAGCTACGACGACTACGAGTCGGATGACGAGCTGAATGTGGTGGGCATCGGGTATTCGCCGGCTGCCGGTGACCTGGACACGGAGAAGATGAGCGCCTGCAGCAAACGGAGCAGCATGCAGAGCCGCGGCAGTACGTCCAGTCTATTCGATCAGAGGCTCACACCACGATCTCATCCAGCAACTCCAAGGTGGGTCATCGTCGTCGTCTCACTCTCTCTCTCTCTCTCTCTATATAATCCATTCCAAACCAATCTCTCTCTCAGATCTCAGGCTACTACGCCGCATCGCTTCAAGAAGGGCGACATCGTGGAATCGGAGTCCGGCGTGCGCAAGAAGTACAATGGGAAGCAGTGGCGACGCCTCTGTATGCTCTGCTCGAAGGAATCTCAGAGGAGGGGCTTCTGTTCGAGGCATTTGAATCAGAAGGGTAACAATGCCCTGCCCTCGTCCACGGGTCCGAATCGCCTGCTGAGGTTTGTACATCTCTCCCCTTTCTCCTTCTACCCTTTCTCCCAACTGATCCATCTCTCACTTATCCCCTTTTAGTGATAGTCGTTCCAGCAGCAAGACACAGATCGATGAGGACACATCACGTGACTCGGAGACATCGCCCAACTATCGGGTCAAGGGTCGCTACGATCAGGAGGACACCGATGCGGCCGCCGTGCTGGGTAAGTCTCTCTGTTCTGTATTAGTCCTCACACCTTTTTGACTTTTTATGACCCACCGAAAATAAAAGAAAGAGACAGAGAGATAGGGATAGGGATAGAGAGTCTAAGAGCCGCCTCATAAAAGCATTAAACATTGGAATTTGTGTGGAAATTTATTCATAGTTTTGAGCTGCAATTCATTTCAAGGCTGGCCTTTCCAGCCTCTACTGCTGCTGCTGTTGCTGCTGCTGCTGCTCCGCTCTCTCACACACCAGCGCCAGCTTAACTGTTAATCTATCTCTCTGTTCACGCAATTACCCACACAATCAGGCAGAACCCGAGAAAAGGGCAGGGCAGAGAGCCAGCCTGGGAGAGCCAGAGAGAGGCTTTCAGTCCACTTATGCGCTCTTGCGGCGCTTCTGCAAAAAGATTTTGTTTGATTTTGCATTTGGGCTGGGTCGACTTTTCAGGTACCCTGACATGCTCTCTCAATTTGGGATTATTCATATGGCTAAAACGTTATTCTATCTAGCAGTTTTAGTAAGTTTTCTTTGAGTTCGCTTCTTGATGGTAATTAATACCCATTCATTTATTATCCTCTACCAAGTTGCGTTGGTTCAGAGTCAAAAAGCATGAAAAGCTGCCATTTTCCCCATCTCCTGCACCTCGCGTCGCATCTAGAAAGATTTACTTTGATTTTATTTCGAAACTGGTCAACTCTTCAGGCACCCTACATAACATATTCTCACTGCCACTGCTTATCCCTTTTAATCCCCTACTAAAATATATTTAGGAAATGTAGAAGTAAGAACAAGTTCTTTCATTCAGGGCATAACCGGATTTCAAACCGAAAACATTCTTTGAAAATGGTAGCGCACTTTAAACTACGGTATCTTTAAAGCTGGAACACTCATCTCCTGTTGCTTTGAAATATTTCCTCAATCTAGTCAACTTTCAATACCATACTTAATGTGGCATATCAATTGCACACATTTCCATCTTAATCCCCACTAAAATGCACCTTGGGAATGTTGAACAAAGGAGCGAGCGAGCCTATGGCTGTCTTTCATTCAGTTCAGAGACCCCAAAAAACATTCTTTGGAAATGGTAGCGCACTTTGGGCAGTCGCTATGGCTGAAACTTTCTCAGCTCCCTAATGCGCTCTTTCGGGGTCGATGCATTTCCAATTCACCATAAAAATGCATATCATAAAATTTTATTGTACCAGCGCCTGGGCTGTTCTCGTCGCCGTTGTGTTTTCCTTGACCATTTCACACACCTCAACAAAGGTCGTTTGTCGCTTTTCATGAAAGGTGTCTGTCTGTGAGAGACCGAGGGGTCGTCGTCGTCGTCGTCGTGGCCGTTGTCCCGATCCCCCGAATCAAGAGTTCTATTGTTCCAGAAATCTTCTATGTTCTGTGCTGCGCCGTTGCTGCCCTCTGCCGATGGGCCACTTGAAAGTGTGACCGCAGCGTGATTTACACGCCAGACGCAGCGACGTCGACAGAGCGCAGCGGAGGGATGCTTACGCATTCCTAAGTTCACCTGCAGAGGTAGAGACACGCAATGATCGCAGCAGCGACAGCAGCAGCAGGAGCAGCAGCAGCGACGCCGCCACTTGAGACGAAACAAAGCAAAGGGCCCAGGCGGCAGAGGCTGGAATGCTGCGTGCGAAGCGCAACAGATTCTTTTCCTTTCTTTTCTTGTTATTTGCTTTGCCTTTGATTCGTTTTTACCTAAACAAAAATGCACTTGAGAGCCCGCAGTCGGCACGGCACGGCACGCACACACACTAGCGCAGAGACACAGACATTCCCGGAGCAGGTAAACAGCTCAAGTCGGGAGAATCAATGCGGGAGAGTGCGAGCGGGAGAGAACGATGCGATAAAGAGCGTAAGCAAGAGCGGCATGGCACGGCGCTCGCTCAATTTATGCTGCTGACGTCGCTGTCGCTGTCGCTGCCCTTGGTGAGCTGTTGCTGCCCGTTTTTTTTTTATGTTGGAAACTGTCAAGAGCACACTGAGGCAGCAGCGCCAGAGCAGTACACAGAACCGAACACAGAAAGCAAACCGATGCGAATGCAGCACAAAACGAATTTGACGACGACGACAGAAAAGTGTATTAAATACAATAAAAAAAAAAAAACGAAGAAATATCTGTACATATAGCTACATACATACATATGTATGTATGCACTAAATATATATATATGTACAATATATAAATCCAATGAAATGTGCAAGTGAGAGAGTGATGAAAGTTTCCATTCGAGGATAGGAGACCGACGAACGTCATGAATGCGTTCCAGGATTTCGAGCTGGGAGCGAAATTATATTTACAGTGCTTATGTAATAAAATGTTAACTACATACATACATATATCTAAATGGAATATGAAGAGATTTATTTATCTACAACGATCTATAGAGGGATTAATTATAGTACTAATTGCGATCGTATATCGTCTCTCCGTCTTTCTCTATTTACAGTATCCCTGAGCAGTTCACGCTCGGCCACGCCATCGTATACATCACCCGTGAATCATGCCGGCGCCTCGCCGCTAAATGCCATCGCCCACTCGCCGGTCAATGTGTCCTCGAACCAATACAGGCAGAACTTTTTCACGCCCATTGCTGCCACCAATCAATCGCAGCAGCAACAGCAACAGCAACAACAACCTGCTGCCGTGACATCTGTGACATCGATTGGTCCTTTGGATACGGGAAAATGGAAGACTACACCCAGTCCGGTCCTGTACAATGCCAACAACAACAACAACAATGGTTGGGAGGGGAACAGCAGCAACAGTGGAGCATCAGGAAATGGAACAGGAGGAGGAGCACAGCCACTGCCAATGCCGCCACAAACAACACCCGTGTCGCTGGTCATGCACGCCCCACCGCCGCAGCAGCAGCAGCATCAGCAGCAGCAGCACCAGCAGCAGCATCAACATCAACAACCACCTGCCGCACACCTCAATGCACTGCCAGGACCTGGAGCGCCGCCCAGCAGTGTGGGGCATGCCACCAGCGTGATACGCATATCCAGCAGCCAGCAGCAACAGCAACAGCAGCAGCAGCATGCGACACCTCAGCAACAGCAGCATTCCCATCCTCATGTGGTTGTGTCTCAGAACCAAACGTTTCATCCCGTGATTGTGGATGCCACACAGCTGACAGTGACGTCCATGCCGGTGCAGTCCATGATGCAGCAACAGCAGGTGCCGCACACTTCGGTTTCATTTCATCAGCCCAATACGCCCACCAACACCACATCGGTGGCAGTCACGTCGATAGTGCATGGCCACGGACACGGACACGGGCAAGGGCACGGGCAGGAGAAGGTGTTGACAAAAAACGGTAGGATTCTATATAGAAGTAGGATCAGCAGTGAAGATTACCATAATCTCTCTTATCCCGCAGGCTACAATGCGCCTAGCCATCCCTGGTACAAGATTCTGCCACAAATGCCGCCCATGACCAAGGCGCCACAGGGTCCGGCCACACCAACAGCGACAACGACCGCCAGCAACTACAGCGTGGTCATGATGCATCAACAGCAGCAGCAACAGCAGCAGCAGCCATCGCCCCAGCAGAGCCCACTGGGAGGAGTAGGAGGATGTGGAGGTGCTGTCCAGCAGCAGCAGCAGCAGCATACATCTCTGAATCACAACAACAACCATTTGATTGTGCCCAATCCTTTGTCGTCGCCCGGCAAGCCGCTCAACTGCTCCATGAACGATGCCAAGGTGGCAGCAGCTGCTGCAGCAGCAGCCGCCGCAGCGGTAACCCATCAGCAGGCGGCGGAGGAGCAGGATGACCAGCTGGACGATGATGTGTTCGAATCCACGCCCACTCCCGTTCCGGCCACAACCAATGGAAAGAAGCAGACGGCAGCCATGCGGCTGCAAACGTACACCAGCAACAGCAACATCCGGAAGCTGGAGGAGTGCCATGACGACGGGGCCAATGGCGGAGCACCCATCACCTCGGCGGCTAAGCGGAGGAGTCAATCCCTGAGCGCCCTGCAGCAGCAACAGCAACAGGCAGCAGCGCAACAGCAACAGCAACAGCAGCAGCAGCAGGCGGCAGCAGCGGCGGCAGGAGGAGGAGCGGCTGGACAGCCAGCGGCAGCGAACAAGAAGATACGCAGACCGATGAATGCATTCATGATCTTCTCGAAGAAGCATCGCAAGATGGTCCACAAGAAGCATCCGAATCAGGACAATCGAACGGTCAGCAAGATCCTCGGCGAATGGTGGTATGCCCTGAAGCCGGAACAGAAGGCCCAGTACCATGAGCTGGCGAGCGTCGTCAAGGATGAGCATTTCAAGCAGCATCCCGAGTGGAAATGGTGCTCCAAGGATCGCCGCAAGTCCTCCACAACGACGGCTGCTGGCAAGGCAGGAGGAGCAGCTGGAGCTGCAGCTGCCGCAGGCGATGCCAAATCTCGCTTGGCCTCGGTGGACGGTTCCGATTCGCTCGAGCACGACATGTGCCCCAATACGCCGGGCGGGCAAGTGGGCCATTCCGATAACCAGGGCGACATCATCCCACTGACAATTGACAACTACAACAGCGCCTGTGATGAAGCGCCCACCACGATCTCTGGCAAGGGGGGAAAGCTGCTGAAGAACGAGCTGCACTCGGACGAGGATGAGCAGATGCTGACGGTGGAGGAGCCACCCTCCAAGAAGCTCGATCTGCAGTGTCGCGAACGTGTAAACGATTCGGACATGGATGATGCCCCCTACGATTACCGCAAGCAACAACAGCAGCAGCAGGAAAAAGATCAGGTAGGGAGTAGGAAACCAACCCCCCCATTTGAAAGTGGAACTCAATTTTAATTACATTTTTTGTAATACTTTGCAGCGCCCCCAGGAGGATCATGCGGTTGGTGCCAATGGCCAGGCCATGACTGCACCGCCAAATACCGGTGGGGATCGCGAGATCACGCTCAAGCCAAAGGCAATCAAGGCCCATCCGGTGCTGGAGAGCACCATGCTGCCATATCCCCAGATGTCGATCTATACACAGTACACTAGTCCCAAGAATCCAATCGGTGTAACACCATTCCAACCCACAGGCGAGCAAACCACCCGCTACTCAACCACCCACTCAGCCATGCTCATTTCGGTATCTCTCTCTCTCTCTCTGTGCTCTGTACAGGCGGCGCCTTCAAGTCGATGCCCATCAGTCCCAAGGGCTGCAGTGGCAGCGGCAGCAAATCCGATGAGGCAGCCACACTGCAGCCACATATCAAGCAGGAGGACATTAAACAGGAGCCACCATCGCCATATAAACTAAACGGTGGCTCGATCTCGGCAACCGGTGTGGTCAACAGTGCACCGCCGCCCAACAGTGGGGGGAGCGGTGTGGGAGCCATCTTCAATTTCAATGTGCCAACAGCAACGGCCCTCAGCCAGAAGCAGTTCCAGTATCCCATGCATCACACGCATCGCAGTCCCACGGATCTGAGAGGTGAGTAGAGCGTGTGCAATGTGGCAAGAAGAATCCATTCACTGAGCAGGATAGCGATAAAAGATGAAAGGAAAAAAGGAGTGAAACGAATAATAAACAGTGGCTTTCCAAACACTTTAAGACAGTTGAAGGGGAGATTGTAAATATGTTTGAATAATTTCCATGAAATGATAAGCCATAGAAGGTGATTTATGATATTTATTTGCACTATTCCAATCAATCCAGAGCGGAGTAGAAGAAATTCAGCAAAAATATGGCATACTTTTATAGATATTCCACATAGAATCACAATCAAATGTGTAACCTCTTAACTGTCTTCTTGCTGTAACGAAACGCACTGTAGTTGATTGGGAATTCATTGAGTTTTGTATGTTTTTTTTTTTTTGTAATTGTAGACAGTCTGCGACTGCCCTTTTTAAATGTAGAATACTTTTCTTTATTTATGTATAATTTATGTAATTTATTTATTAATTAATTTTAAGTTGTATTTAAGATTTAGAACAAAACAATTGGCATTATTTATACTATGATTTATGTTGTGTGTATTCTGTATATAGATTTTTATAATTTAATTTACTGTTTTTGAGTTTTGAATCCAAAATCGAAAACAAAATTTGTGAAAAACATTCCAATCACCTGCATCGATCGCATCGCCTCGCCTCGCCGCCCCCTCACCCACCTGTCGCCTACGTCGCCTTTTTTCTAACGAAAGATTTTTTTTGTTTGTTTGTTTTTTTTTTTTTTGTGTCGGGCATAACATCTTTCTCTCTGTTTCTTTCACTTTCTCTCACACACACACACACACACTGGAAAATCTTCCCCCGCCCCCACAAAACTTCCTTTCTGTTGATGTCATCCATATCATACACATATCTGCCCCCCCAAAACCATAAATCAAACATAGAACCAGTGGAAAATGCGAAGAATACGAAAGGAGATGCAGCAGCAGTCCATGCAAACGATCAGGAAAATGAGCAAAATGAGGATGTGGAAAATCTACTCAACGAGGCGGACCTGAACGACGATGATGATGATGATGAGGATGAGGATGAAGATGATGATGATGAGGATGATGAGCAATTTATGCAGGAATTGGCCAGTGTTAATGCCGATTTCGATGACATAATGCATTATACCATACCCAAAGTGAGGGCTACACCCACACCAACGCCCACAACGCCTCCAGTGGCCAGTACAGCGACAGCCCCAGCAGCAGCAGTAGCAGCCACAACAACAACAACAACAACAGCAACAAACACCACAGCCAGCACAGCCACAACAATTGTGACACCCATCAAGCGGAAACAGTTTACGATTGTGCGATCCCTGACGCCGTTGCAACCGTCACATTCGCCACACCAACAGCTCAAGCATTTGCATCAACGGCGCGTGGAGACGCCACCGACGGTCATAACGCGTGTGCCGACGCCCACCATTAATCATTTCACAATCATACGAGCACAACCATCGAATCAGCATCAGCATCAACATCAACACAATACACCGCCGCCTTTGTTTTTCAAGCAGAAAGTTCACCAATCTTCACCAATCATAGCAACAGCCATTCCAACAGCATCCACATCAACCACAGTAGGATCAGCCACAGCTACAGCTACAGCACACAATAACGAAGCCCTTACTAAGTTTTCCAATAATTCCACGCCCATTATACGAAAATTGTTGACTCTACAACAACAAGATGGTCACCACCACAACAACAACATCAAGAACATCAACAACAACAACAACAAGGGGACAGGTCGAGCGGCCATACTGTACGATGCCCTTGTGCTGGACACGCTGCATGGCCAGGACGAGGAGGACGATGAAGACCACCAACTCGAAGATGGGCAGGAGAAAGCTGAAGGAAAGGAGAAGCAGCGATTGGGCAAGAAGGAGTCTGGCGGAAAAACAGGAGGTGGAGCCACAATGCTGCTGATCACCGACTGCAATGCGTACAGTCAGCAGCAGCATCATCATCATCACGGCAGCTGCTCGGCAGGGACACCTGTCAGTGGGGGAGCAGCCACCCTGCGGCCAGTGTCCTTTATCAGCATCAATGCGTGCAACAAGATTGCGTTGCCTGCAAATGCCCGCATACTGACAGCGGCAACGGCCACAACGACAGCGGGTGTGGCAGCCACAGCGACCAGCCAGGCGGGAGGCAGCACCGCCGCCACACTGACAGTGCTGACCAAGGCGGCGGGGAAAACGGGAACGGGACCGGGAACAGCAACAGCCACAGCAAATCATAGTACTAATAATGCCAATAATGAAATAACCATAACAGCGGCTGCTCCAGCCACTGCCACTAAAACAGTGGCCGGCAGCAGCAGTGGCAATGTCATGAACAACAAAAACTCATCTACAACTCCCTCCTCTTCCTCCTCCTCCTCCTCTTCCTCTACCTCCTCCTCCACCATCTCTGTCTCTCTGTCTACTGCAGCCGCGCATCAGGCCTGTGTGCCCTCATCACCGGCGGCCATGAGTCTGGGACATGCGGCCAATATGGCCACGCCACCGGCGTCCGCACCAGCACAGATAATGGGAGCAGGTCCAGCGCCAGGCCAAAAGATGTTCTTTGCCATGACAAGTCAGGTGAGTGAATGGATGGGGAAAGCAAAACGTTTAAGAGAGCGTGAGAATAATGTGGTTTCCGTTTCCTCTGTATATGTGTGTGTAGTACCCTTTGCTGCCGCGTTCCCACCAACCGGGTACACCCTCGCTGGAGCATCTGCAGCTGGAGGCGTTTGCGGGCAGCTACATATTCAAGAATCACAACGGACTGCCGCCACCAGTCAGTGCCCAACCGACAATGCTGCTCCATGGCTATACGCCGAGTCACAGCGCCGAGCCGCCAGCGAGTTCGCCCTCGTACAAGTCGATGCCCTCCACCCCAAAGTCGGCGACATATCACATGAGTGCACCGCCAGAGCGTGCCGGCCAGGAAGGAGGCGGAGGCGGAGGAGCAGCGGCTGGAGGCGATGAGAGCGACATGGATGCAGATGGACAGCAGTTTATATTGGCACCAACGCCAGCACAATTGGGACGAGCACCGTTGCAGCGGCGCAAGAATTTATGTGAGTGAATCCCGAGAGCTGGATATCCATCGGAACTTATGGAATTCTCTTTTTTTTTTTGGTTTATTTTTGTAGCTCAAAGCAAATCGGAGAGCAATGTATCGTTTGGCGCGAATCTGGGGGCCAGCAATGGGGGCGGACAGCACATCAGTCGAAAGCTGCATTCCCCCACAACGATGGATGCCTCGTCGCCCATCATTGGCCTTGTGAACAGCTCCAGCCTCAGTTCGGCACTGCCCACGCCCACCTCCTCGACAACGACACCCAATAGCGATGAGCAGCTGCCTCTGACGCCCACAACGAGCAACAGCAACAGTCAGCCAAAGTCTCCGTTGAAGGGAGTATCGGCAGGAGCCGCAGCAGTGGCCCACAAAAAGAAGAACGATGAATTGAACAAGTAAGTGGCGGAGTGGCGGAGTGGGAGCAACACATTTCCTTAGATTTATACTAACTGGTGTCTATGCCATTTACAGCAGTGTACTCAAGCAGGTGGACTTTGAGAAGAAATACAAGGCACTGCCGCAGTTTCAGCCGGAGGATTGCCAGTCGCCCAGTGCCATAGCTGTGGCCTCCTCGCCGCGAGTAGTGTATGGAACAAATTATCGCAAAAAGAATACAGCGCCAGTGCCAGTGCAGAAGCTAAGTGAGTCAGCCACAGACAGTCTTGGGCAGTGCTTGGGCATTTTATTTACTCATTTTTTCGGATATTTTTATTTAGTTTGTGAAGACGATTCGATTGATGAGCCCGCTTCGGCACCGCCAACCACAACGCAGCGCTTCTTTGGGCCCGACTTTAACAACGAGCTGAAGGGTAAATATTAATAATATTTTTGCACAGTGTATATCCTCTATGTATAATGTAGATCAATGCTTTGCAGAACTCGAGAGCTCGGATCAGACGGGACGGTCGCCCCGAACGCCCAAGACGCCGCTGCAGAGTGCCAGATCGGATGCCAGCGAGAAGGGGCATCGCAAGGTGCTGGAAACGCGTCGCAATTTGGTTATGCAGCTGTTTGCCGTTCACGGTAATTTCCCAACAGCACAGGCCACAATTGCCTTTCAGGTGAGTAACTGTCCCCGCACCCCCTGAAAGTGTTTCTCCTTGGATGTGAATGTAATTTTGGAATCTTTTTTTTTATTGTATTCCTTAGACGAAGCACATTGATGTGTTTCCGCGCAAACAGGATCTACAGCTGAAGATACGCGAAGTGCGACAAAAGCTGCTGGGACAGGCATCCTGCACACCGCACTCGGCCGGTCCCAATACGCCGTCCGACTCGAATTCATCGTCGACGACGCTGAGCGCCAATAGTGCACACACCAGCAATGCGACACCGAATACGGCAGGTAATTGGAGGGCGCTCTGCAAATATCTTCTACCCAAGAACTAAATCTGTAATTTCCCTATTAATGAATATCTTGCTTTTGACTTTCTGTTGTGTGTGACACCCCTCTCCAATTCGATTTGTTTGTTAATTTAGTTTCCATTTCTCAATGAAAACATTGTTAAGATGTTTTTCAATATCACTAAACGGCAGGTGCGAATCCTCAACAGAAGGAGCGGAGGCAGGACTTGAAGCAGCAGCCTGAAAGCAAAGCAAATGAAACGTAGGAGAGTGGAAGGAAGGACAGGATACGACAACCGATTGTTTTGCTGCCAAAAGTGACAAAATTACTTAACGATAGAGTAAACTCAACGAAAGCAGCAGGAAAAGCAACAGCAGAAACACCTGCAGCAGCGCACACTCATAAAAGGGAATGAAAAGAAAATTCAGCCGAAGCAGCAGATACAGATACAGATACTGATAAACATACAGCTCATGCATGAGATGCAGATGAATGTTTAACTAGTTTTTATTCAAATGAAACAAAAAGGAAAAATAGAGAAAAAAATTACAAATTTTTAATTACAATAGGCATACAATACGAGTAAAATACAATACAATACAATATACAATATGTACACCATGCAACAGAGATATCGATAGGAGAATACCGATTACGAATGAATTTATTAAGCAGCTTAATAAATCACAAGATCATAGAAGAGAAGGATGGATGGATGGATGGAATGGTAGACAGTAGAGGAAAATTTTTGAATAATGGGAACTTTTGAAGCACATATGAAGTACATGCATACCACATATAGAAAAACAAAAATCGAGTAGTAGAGAGCATAAATACATAATGGAACGATTGTATAATCCCCCGCTTAAACGATTAGGTTGATAATTTACAGAAAGAACTGCACGGAGGAGACGGAGATTGAAGTAGCTTTAACCTTAAATTGCACATTAATTTTTGAAGTGTATTTAGCACAAGAAAAAAAGAAGGCAAAGAATTGTATAAAACAAAAAACAAAAACAAAAAAACCTTGAAAAGAACACGTAGTTGTATTGTATATTTAGTCATAAAATGTAAAACAACAAAACAAAACGAAGAAGAAAGAACAAATTTACGCAAAACAAAACACAAACACACTTCCACACACACACACACACACATCTAAATGCTTTTAAAATGTTTGATTTTTGTTCTTAAACCTTTGAACCTTTTTTAAATTGTATGTACATTTTATATTTTAAATTGGCTTTTTGCACTTGTTGTCTTATTGAATTATAATTTATATAGTATATATACATATATGCATATACTTTTATTTTAATATTATTTTAGCGTAGAGTAGACCTGTTTTTAAATTGTACACACACCGAAAAATAAAATAATTATACATACAATACATACAATTTATGACACAAGAAAAATGATTGAATAGAAATGAAAAGAAATGAATGAGAGAGCGAGAACTAACTGTCTTCCACTGTTGCTGCAATATACTATTTAATATTGTGTTAATATTCAGTTGAATTAAATTAAATTTAGTTGTAAATTAAAGTTAATTTTAAGTGCGTGTGACTGCACCACCCACAAAATCCACTCGTTTTGGCAAAATTTACCCTGTACCCTGTACTCTGTGGCTTGTTGATTGATTTATTAAATGTTGTGTACAAACCTATGTCTGTATCTCTATTACTTAAGTTCTATAATTTTAGCCCGTTTTTCAATGTCAGTCACAGTTTCCATGTATTTTTGTAATCCTCTTTGTGTTCTCTAATATTCTAATACCCCAATATGCAACAGTTGCAGCCACACAAAAACAGACGGACAGATAGACAGTCTTGATATGCCAGAAAAATAAATTATTAATGCAGGAAATAATAGTTCATATACATACTAGTAAAAGCAATCAGGGATCGTAAATAAAATAAATCGGAAATAAAAGGAATGTCCATATAGGGGGTCCTTAACAAAGTTGTATTCTCGGTTAATGAAAATTAAAATGTTTTTTCTGTCTTTAAATTAGTGTTAACTTATCCTTTTCTTATGTCAGACTAGATTTAAATTCTTTCAAATTCTTTCTTTGCTCAAAGTTCCTCTCTCTTAAATATATTTCTGTTTCAGTCATTGTCTACTTCTCTGTACCACTGTCATAATCTGTCTCCTGCCATTTCGGGTTTCATATTTGTAATTCCAAAGCACATCATCATTACGATCCCTGATTAAAATCATTTCAAACTCACACAATATTATACACCAACAACAGTGAATAAAATGTGTATGCCGTTTACATTTAGTTTTATTCATTGCTGGATACTGCAACTCTAGAAGTACATATATACAATTTTAAATACCAACTCACGTAGGCTTTTCAAATTTTTTTGTATATTCATAATTTAATTATAGTTTTTTCATTATGTTTAGTTCATAATTATCCATTAGTTATTTGTATTAATTAGAGAACAAAAAAACGAAATTTTATATGATAAAACAAACAAAAAACGAGAGCGTAAATTGTAGTGTGTTAATGTTAAAAAAAAATACAAATAAAAAGAATACAAAACAAGAATAAAACAAAGTTTATAAGCAAATTCCAGAACCGGAGGTGTGAACTTAATTGTATTTAGTAGAAGCACACACAGAAGGCTTTTGTTTGATACCCGATCCCCTACCCTGTCTTTCCCCCCAGCAAAATAACCTTGTGCCAATGACAAAGCTAAGCAAATTAAACAGATAATATTCAAATAGAATATAATACGATCCTCAGTAGAGAGTTAACCAAATTATGAAGGCAAACCCCCAAAACATGTTTGTCAATTAAGTCAAATGCAAAACAGAGAACAGAACCGAGAGAATTATTTTGATCCCTACCAAACATGGCAAAAAAAAAAAACTTATACATACAAAGAAACCTTTAAAGGAACAACCACAAAATACATTTTTGGCAACAAACATTTCGGACTAAGAAAAATGCAACAACAAACTAAAGGAAAAACAAAGAGTAAACTTTTGGCAATTACAAAAACGAGAACTTTTTGGCGCGGAAACAAACTCAGTAACAGAACAAAAAATATAACAAAAAAGAAATGGCGTTTCGGATACAAAATTCTAAAATTCAGGTATATAAAAAAAAAGGAAACAAAAACAAATACAGATAGTGTTGTATAATGTTTAAAGAAAATTTTTGGAACAAAGTATAAGTAAAAGTAAACAAATTCAAAGAAGAACTATTTAGCTATTTATACAAAAAAGAGGAGGCGAGGCGACAATGTGTGTATGTGTACAATTTATAAGGTGCTTTTACAAACAACAAAATATTTGGTAGTGAAGCGAAGGTCGTTGGAGTCCTCCCACACTCTCTATATATATATATATACATATATATTTTTGTCAGAAAGGCATCCAACTGTATTTTAAAAATGCTTTTAAAAGTGGAATGACTTAAGAAACGAATGGAGATCTTCCCCCCAGATGGTGGACGGGGCGGGGGACGTAAGGTCAACAATACTCTTGTAATTCAGTTGTGAGAAATTTGCACAGTTTGACAATGGATTGTGGTGAGGTTTTTTATAGTTTTTAATCGAGGAGGGCGTTTTAAATCGTAGCCAAACTCCCCTCTCCCTACAAAAATCTAGAGCTAAAATATACATCTACCATATACATACATATACATATACATTTACATATACATATAACTGATTGATTACTGATTCAGGATTGCAGACATTTCTAGTGGCAATCGAAGGTTACACCCATGTTGTTTGCGGTTTGTTTAGTTAATTGTTAAAAGATAAACGTGCAAAAAAAAAAAACCGGGAAGATTGCATTGCACAAATCTAAAGTTACAATTAAAAGAAAAAAGATCCATTGAGTTTGTAGTGAAATTTCATAAGCCTATCATTTGCAATTGACCTGAACGCTTTGTAAAATATGTATTAACAACAAATTATATATACAGATACATATATATATATACATAAAACTTATTTGTGAAGTTAACTCTTAAGCCAGTTATTGTGAAACGTATTTTGTAAGCGAGAAAACCGTGCATCCCACACACTCACATCCACGAACCACACACGAGACGACTTACAAAAATATTACAATACCATATACAAGTGCATCACATATACAGGATAGAATAAATCCAAATACGGAATATTTAATTATGGATATGTACTCGGACTGAAGCTCTGAGAAACGGGGGTGGGGCGGATTTCGAAGGTAAATCTTTAATTTGTTTAGCTGTCCTCCACAGAGAAAGAGCAAGAGAGAGAGCGAGAGATTTTTGCATCGTAGCACAGGGTTGCTCTCAAGAGCTTTACGGTCCAACACCAAGAACCCCAATAACTCCCATTCCCACACACTCCAACACACACACACACACACGAACATATATTTATACATACATATAAATATAAATATATATACGATGATAAATTTATTGAATAAAAAGAAAAATATGCATTCATAAACTTCTCTCTTTGGCATCATTCTTAGGGTAAAAAGTTGTAATAATTTATTAGTATATATATTTTGAGTGAGATTAACTAATTTTGGTTTGCTTTGGCACACTAAGGAAGAAGTACTGTGGACTACTAGTTCAAGCATCCTCAACCACTTCCACTGGAACTTCATGGAACAGATTTCTAGCCGAAGATAGGACGCTAATGTCAGCGCAATTCTTGAAGTTTTCCTGATCGCCACAGCCCATGGCTCCCGTGCCATTCTCACACACGCCCCAGTTGTTGCCCGCGGTGTAGGTCCAGCGCAGGACACAGTGCACGCAGTTGAGATCCGTGGGTAGTTGAAGAGTCACCGGAATGTCGCCCGTTCTGCTGCTGATGTTGTACTTGAGACTGCCATCGGAAAACTGGAGAGGAATCTTGTTGAAGCACTCCTCCGACTCGGAGCCATACTCATCGAGGTTACAGATGTGGAACGTGAAGTAACCCAAGTGATTTGCCGTGATCTTTACGTTAATCTCAGCCTCGGATTTGCCAGCAAAGGTCCTCACAATGACTCCACTGCCATATTTGCCACCCAGTTCGTTGGGTCGCGGCTGTGCCAGACTCCAATCATCGCCGCACAGTCCACAGCGTCCTCCGTTTTCGGTTTGTTTCTGCAATGGCAATCGAAGAATAGCATCGAGAATATTTGCAGTTGATTTTTAATAGCAATATCCTACCCACAAGCCACCGCAATACAATGCATTATCATCGTAGTTTTTGGGTGCCGAAGAGTCGGAGCGCCAGCGCGAAGATCTGCCCACGGGATCCAACATCATGCCGTGGCCCTCCAGCTCTACCATCAGGCAGCAAATACTCAGACTTATGGTCAGGATTACTTTGAAGTATTTCATTTTGTTTTCACTTTCACTATGGTCTGATTCGGATCTGGCCTGGTGGCATGGCTTATATACGTCCATATTCCTAAAAATCTAATCAGCTACCAGGCGGCTTATGCTTGTATTGTGATTTTTCATCAAATATCCGCCAAGAATTCTTATCACAGTACTATCTGCCCATATGTACGAATGCGTGTATATGCATTTTTATGATTATTGCCCAAAATTTTGGGCGAATCGTAGTACCTGACCCTGGGGAGTCGTCCAAAAAGCTATGACACATATAAACAGGCGTCCAATTATTGGTAATTGAATCATTCTAATGTTGGTTTGTTTACAATCAATTTTTTTTTTAGCACAAAGTAGGTCTGATTCGACAGAAAGTGCCAATGCCAGTGTGATAAGGGTTCAATGCATGGGCTACGAGTATAATTCACCTTCAAGTGGAACTTGTTAACCAAGGTTGGAAAGCGTTTCAAGTGCATTGTAGGATAGTAGCAACGCATACGTACGAGTATGTAGCTGGCAAGGGGTTATGCAATGCGGTGATTGAACTCGAAAGGAATTCCCATAAAGATAAGAGCGGTTTGTCAGCTCTAGCAGTGAGAACATAGCGAAATTCTTAGGAAACTCTACCTGCGTACATTATCTTATGAGTATCAGTATGGTCCTATGCTCGGACTTCCACTCGCTCTACCATATAATATCCACCACTAGTTTTCCTCTTCTTAAATCACTAGTACTAATATACCTTTCCCGTAATTAGTACTATTTCTTAGCTATATGTTTAGCTCTTTGAGTTGAGCTTAGCTGTAATTTTCCTCGAATTTTAATCTAACATCTACATATCTTTCTTGCATGCTCGCGATCGGTTCGGTAACACGCGTCACGCGTTATGCGGCAGCGCCCCTCGGTCGCTTTGTGCAGTTGATGGTGCAGTCATTGCATATCAACGTCCAGAAAAAATGGGAGTAGGTAAGATTCTCCAACGGTAGCTCCCAGAATTTTAAGGCATACTTTCAGGCCTCTGCTTTAAACGATTTTTTTTTTGTAAATGTTCAGTTCTTTATTTGACTTTGGCAGTCTTTTTGGCGTTTGACACTTTTAGACTTGAATGGCAGTTCGTTTTTCGTGTGTTGTGGGTGTGGAGTGCGTGCTTAGGCCACCTCAAGGGGCACAACGACATCCACATCGGAGTCAGCCAGCTCCTTGACGATGTTACGGCCCCAATTGATGCTCACATCGGCGCAATTCTTGAATGTCTCCTGGGGTCCACAGCCCAAGGCACCATTGCCGGCATTATCGCAGATACCCCAGTTGTTTCCTGAGTGACATCCAATTATGAGTCAAATTATTGTTAAAAACACTTTCAGACTAACCTCCAACATAGGTCCAGCGGAGCACACAGTGATTACAAGTAAGATCCTGGGGCAGGACAACAGTCACATCGAACTCTCCGCTCTGCTGGCCAATGTACAGCTGCTCACCGCCATCGGCGAAGCGCAGGGGATACTGATTGAAACAATCCTCGGACTCATTGCCAAAGGCATCCAGGTTGCACAAATGGAACTGAAAGTAGCCCAAATGATTGGTGGTGATCTTCACGCTCACGGTGATGGCATTGGCAGCGGGATAGCTTCTGGTAACGACACCATAGCCACCAATATTGCCGCCGATCTCATTGGCACGCGGCTGTCCATCCAGGAAATTATCGCCGCACAATCCGCAGCGTCCTCCATTGTTGGCCTGGGTCTGCAAAGAAGAGATGTCAGGGCTGTAGCCTCTGCGATTTGATTGCTGGCATCCCCATTTAACTCACATTCAAACCACCGCAGAAGAGTTCATTGTCATTCCAGTTCTGGGGAGCGCTGCCATCGTAACGCCAGCGAGAGGAGCGACTTGGGGGATTGAGCATCATGCCGTGGGCATCGATCTGCTGCAGACCGATGGCCATCAGCAAGACAACACTGAGCAGGTACTTCATGGTATTAAATTTCGTTTGTTTTCACTTTCACAATGTGCCACCCACCGCACGGGATCCATGTTTTATACATATGTGCCACTTCCACCTTCTCCTGCCACTTTATCAATTCGATTCGAGAGTTTTACAATAGCTCTTGGCATGATAACGCTTTATTGATAATAATAATATCAGCTGCACGCCCGGTCAACAGTGGCGAAATCCCACTCCAGATCCAGATAGGCCCCCAAATGGATAAGCATCTCTACGATTGGCATGCCAAAATATTCATAAAAACGTCGAAAGCCAGTGCCAAAAGGCACTACACAAGTAAGTACTTGTATTAGTAGCTATTCTAAGGACTTTTAATCACATTTGGCTTATCTGCATAATGTTTATTGAATTAACTTTGCCCCGAGTACGAGTATATTCCATTAATAATTCAAACGGTTTGTTTTGTTTTGGGTTCACTTATTATCGCGCCCAGATTTCATAGCGTACAGCGTAATCAGTTATGGGCAACATATCATATCAATGCGGCTTAGATCGTTCGGTGGGAAGTCGTGGCACGCCAAGTTGAATGGTAAATAGCTAAGTTACATTTATCCATTTATCAATCTGACTCCAAAAGTTTCAGAATATTCGCCCGATCACGAGCAAATTTCAAACGATCAAGGACATTCTCCCGATCACAAGGAGGCATGACACGCCCAGATCGAAACAGAAATGGCGGAACTATAGCGGTTTAATTAAAAATTGGCATGAAAATAACGGTCAATCTGTGGCGGCCCCACAGCGATTAGTTCATGAACTATTTTCAGTAAGATTCATGTCCAAAACATGTCCGATGCATGTCCGATTCATGTCCTTAAATTTAATTTTCTGTTATTACAGCGCCAATACTCATCTACATGTAACAGTGCCGCCCTCATGTAGGCAACGGGGATATCTTGTACTAACAGACTGTCGTATCGATAGTTGTGTCGTATCGATAGCTGTGTCGCATCGATGATTGTCGCCACCTCGCTGTGCTGGCACACCTTGTAAAATTAAAAGTAAATTCCTACCTGTGCCGACTCCTTGGCAACGGAACGGAACCCCAACCCAGCAGGTGAGGCGTGTGCACTCAGGCAAAACGTCAACGAAAAAGGCGCCTGGGAACCAAACATCAACAGAAAAAGTAGCCGAGCCCCAAAAGTGAGAACAGATTCAGTCAAACTGTATCGCAGAAACACACACACACATACGCTAAATACCAACAAACGCGGTGGCGCCAAGTTTAAATTTCGTTTTGAAAGTTGTGCAAATTTGTATTTGAAAATTGTTTAGTTATTCGTAGGAGAGTTTCGTTTATTCTACACACCACAACAGACGATGGTTAATCGCACCAAGGCGTCGCGGTCTCTGGGCGAAGGTGATGCGAAGGAAAAGGACCAAGATCAGGTCTACTGCGTGGTGCTGCACGTTGTGGAGGGTAAGACGCACATCGAAATACTCGAAAGAGTACTCCTAGCTAATGTGTACCTTCGCCATCAATAGCCATCAACTTTATTGGACGCGATGGCGAACGGGAAACTATCGTGATGAATGCCGCCCTCAATACGGTGGACTTTGAGGTGGAGGGCACACCCTCGGCGACGGCAGAGACGATAATCTTCAACAGCAACTGCATCTGGGAGTGCGACATGGCGGGCATCAAGCGCATCAAGACGGACCATCGACCCGTCAAGCTCACCTTCTTCGCCTGCAGCAAGCACCTGCAGCGCAAGCCCATTGGCACCGTTCTGCTGCCCGTGCGTGGCCTGCCCGTCCTGACCTCGACCAGCAACACCACCCCGCTGCAGCTGAAGATGTTCTGGCACAAGCTGATCTGCATCAGTCCCGAGTTTCGCTCCCACAAGCCCGAAGTGCTGCTCATGCTGGCCATCATCAAGAAGTCCATACTGCACAACAAGGACTTCGAGCATCTGCTGCAGGTTTCACATGTAAGCCAGAAGCGACTGCGACTGCTATATTGATATATATATATACCCCGTTTTTCGATTTCAGATCAAGCAGCCACCAACGCCGCCACTTAAGTCGCCCGGTCACTCGATCACTGCCAGCATGCTGCAGTCACAGGCCAATGTATATGTGCAATCACTTGTGCAACTGGGTCTGCTGCAGGTGGGCAATGATCCGCTGATCGATTGCGACATCATTGAGGTGGTGCTGCAGTTCAAGAAGCTCAAAAACTTGGCCAAGCTGGTCAAGTCGCTCAGCAACGGCAAGGAGCCAGCCAAATCCATTACGCTGGTGTTCGATTTCGTTGGCAATGTGACCAACATTGAGCTGAAGACCAACGATTCGGATGCCTACATGCTGACCGATGTGCTGGGACTCCGCTTCAAGTCCTCCCTTCACAGCATGCGTCTTTATTTCCAGCGCATATTCTATTTACCCATAAATATGTACGTGAATGGCACGGCCATTGGTGAGTACTTAGCCTGCAGATTACTTACAGTACTTACTCCCGATTTCTGCCCAATTGTAGCCAACTACCGCATGGACTTTGGCAAGCTGCTGCCGGCGGACAGTTACTTTGCCGAGAATCGGAAATTTGTGCGCAACGGCTGCCTGACCTTCAACCGCTTTGGGCGCATGGACAGCTCCCGGGACATCAAGCCGCAGATGGAGTACTCGTTTAGTGTGGAACTCAAGGCCATTTACTCACGGCCAACCAACGCTCTGGAGGAGTCGGAACAGTATCGGCCGGCAGCGCCTTTTGTTTTTACAAAAGAACAGCAGCCCAGTGACTCCAAGGATCCGACGCCTGACAATGGCAGCCTCAATGTGGCTGCCACGGAAGAGGTCCTGGATGTACGAGCGAATGCAGAAGGCGATCCTGTGTGCGTGGGCAAGGACTTTCGGAGGCGAAAGAAGTCCACCAGCCTGACCTGCCAGCCTGAATGCGGCCAGGACAGCGAGGAGGGCTTGGTCAGAAAGTTGTCCTCAACAATCGCGCGAAAACCGATTGAATCGAATGATAAGCCAAAGAGGATTAGCAACTCCCTGTTCCAATATTCCAATGATTGCAATGCGCCTGCTGCTGCTGCTGAATGTCTAGCCATATACAGCAATCAAAAATTCGATTATGACGTATCAAAAGACGAAAGCAGCGAAGGGCCCAAGGAAGAGCTCATGGTGGATGGAAAGGAAAAGGTAGAAGCTTCGCCAAATAATGTGGAAAGAATCGAGAGCCAACAAGTGCCAGCCAAAAGACCCAAAATGAAGTCAGAGGCGGACAAAAATCCCAGCAGGGCAGCTGAAACGGAGGTCTCTATGGAGCAGTTGACCAAGCTGTTGGGGCAGGAGGTGGAGAAGCTTACGAAGAGCGTTGAGATTATCGAGAACAGAAGCCAGCAAAGCCAGCATAGAAAATCCAGAAAGATGGAAATAGATCTGGACGAGGATCCCTTCGAAAGCGATTCAACTCTATGCTCCATTCGCAGAAAACATCTGAGGAAGTCCTCGAAAACGGAACAGAGATCTGCCACGTCCATAAACCTATCACACACCAAAGAAACAAAAGAGCGAATACGACACTCCTCGGGACAGAAACGAGTCGTGGAGGAAAGTCGTGTGGATGAAACGGACGCTAGCATGGAGTCTGCTTGGCCCGAGGATTATCCAGCCCCGAGGGAGAATCTAAAAAGGACATACAAAGTCAAAGTGAAGCACAGCGACATAGATATAAATAGCCTGACGGAGTGTGAGGTGTTCAAAGTTCAGCGTGGTAAGCGCAAATCGAAATCCGAGATGCGGCTGCCCAAGCAGCCAGAGTCCAGCACAGAGCAAGTCTCCGGAAAGCCAACCAAGGCTAAAAGAAAGGGTAAAATGTCCATGACTGAGCTCAGCCTGCGGGCACGTTGGGTCGAGGTGAACAAGGTACAGGCGCAGGCCCTGAATGAAACGGAAAAGTTTCTGGAACAGACATGCCAGTCCGAGTTGCGTGAGGAGCAACAGACTTTGGAGCAGCCAAAGTTGGTCGAATCCAAAAAGAATATCACAAAAGTGAGGTCGAGTAAGGTGCGAATACAACGGGATTCCGATGCCGAAGACAATTTGCATGCTGGGAATGCGAGGGAAAATAATGCTGCACTTCCAGTCGAGTCGGCAGAGAGCTCCGTGTCCTTTGTGGGCTCGGAGAGCTCTTCTTTGCACGTGATCAGCTCACAGTCAAGCGAAAAGCGTATAAAGCGGATCATCAAGAAGATGAGAGTGTCCAAGACAACAATCCAGGAGGAAAATGTTGCACCCGGAACGTTCAATGTGTTGCCAGAAAAGCTCGTGAAAAAGAAATCCAGTGGAAAAATACCCGTCGAAGTTGTGGAATCATCAGAGCAGTTTGAGGAACCAGTTCAGAGTCAGCACAAGAAAAAAGTCAAGAAGAAGCGATCAAAGCCCGTGATGCAGCAGCAATCAGAAGATGACGATGATGTAACGTCCATGGAGACAGTGGTTGAGCGGAAATCATCCAAGAAATCTGTAAGGGAGTCCAGTTCCCGCAAGTCACTCGAACGGACATCATATGTGAGCGCCTTGGATCAATTTTTTAGCCCTGAAAATGTGGGCGACACGTTAAAGGCCTGGCGCCAGCAACAGATACAGCTCTTTGAGGCGGAACTCGAGCGCAAGGAGCAGCAGTACAAGAACGATCTGCAGCAAATGGAATACCAGGAGCTGAACAAGCACATAACACTCGATGAGACATTGGCCAGGAACCAGGCAATCGACGCTTACGAGGCCAAGTTCAAGGAACTGCAGCAGCACATCAATCAGCTGCAGACGGAGATTGATGAACAGGTGCGCCTCTTTGCCAGTCGCAGTCAGGAAATGCGCCAGGAGAACAAGCAGCTGGAAATGGAGAAGACGAAGCTGAAAGAGCGCATCTTTCACCTGGAGACACAGATGCACGAGCTGCGCGGCCAGGGCAAGGGCTCCGATGACAGGGACCTCAATCACATACTCAAAGAAATGCGCTCCCAGAACGATCGATTTGTGGAGCTGTCCAAGGAGAAGGAGCGCTACAAGAAGCAATGGCGTCGCTCGGCCAAACAAGTGCACGACCTGAAGCTGGCCATGCACGAGAAGAGTGCGCAAATGGATGAAGGGTAAGGGGGTCTTAAACACATTCAAAGGTAAATTATTGTACATAACAAATGTTTCGTTGCAGTCCGTTTAATCTGCGGCAAATACTGACCAAGGACATGCAAGAGTTTGAGGAGGAGTTCGGACACCTACGCCATACCAATGGGGTGACAAGTTTCTCTGTTAGCTCCCTGACCGGATCGGGCGATAGTTCCAGCAATTTGTGAACTGCAGCGACTGTCGTGTCTTTTCTTTTTTACCAAATTAACTGTGCGAATTTTTTGTTTATTTTCTTTGTTCAGTTTTGTTTGTTTGAGTAATAAAATTTTGCGATTATAATGTTAATGTTAATTTTTAATTTTAGTTCTTCAGTTCAACTGAAATCCCACGCGCACAAAGTAGGGCAGTGTGTCCAGTGGGGCGGGGTAGTCCATGACCCAGATGGGGCCGCTGTACACCTCATCGCCATTGCCATTCTTCCACTCACCGGCCGGCAGGTATACATCCCTTTGGGTGGCGCCCTCCTGAACCACAGGAGCAGCAATGATATCATCGCCCAAAAGGAACTCTGCAGAGAGTGAGAGAGAGAGAGAGAAATAAATGTGTTGGGGAAGAGAACACATTGATTCGAAAGCTAATACTCACGATCGTAGATGCCTTGAGCCACCGTATCGGTGGGTGCAATCCACCAGAGCGGGGGATTCACCGGTTCGCCCGTCTCCACGGCCCGCTTGAACAGCTTCATGATGTAGGGCGTGTAGTCGGCGTGCAGTTTGGTGTGCGTCTGGCTGATGGCAATGGTCTCGTTATCGAAGTTCCATGGCACATAGGAGAACTGGAGGGCGGGCATGAAGACATTGGCCTGCAGCCAGCGCAGGAAGAGCTCCTTGTTGGGGGGCCGCTCGTTGTAGCCATTGCCGCCAATCATGTCGGGTAGGACAAGGGGATAGCCGTTCATGTTCATTTGCAGCATCGTGGTGATCAGCGTGATGAGGCCATTGTTCCAGCCCCATTCAGAGTCCTTGTCCACGATGCGCACAAAGATGGGCAGGTCCTGGGTGTTTTGGGCAGAGCGAACCTCCACCATGTCGCCGAGGGCAGCCACGGTACGGAGATAGTCGCCAACGGCCTGCAGTGGAGTCACCATGGAGCCGCCGTCCTGCAGCACGGGATCACTGGGCAGCCAGCTGGCCTCTCCGGCATCGAACTTGAAGCTGTCAATGCCCTCCTCATCCTGCAGCCGCCTCAAACGCTTGGTGAACCACTCCTGGACCTCAGTCTTCGTAAAGTCCAGAATGGCGGCATCCTTGGGCTTGCTGTTCCACCACTGTGTGTCCGAGCTGCCCTCATGGTCGAGTACCAGGTAGCCCAGTGCCTTGGCCTCGTCATAGATCGCCGTGCAATTGTTGTTGATGAAGGGATGAATCCACAGGGTAACACGGAAACCCAATGCCTTGAGGTCATCGGTGAGGGTCTTGGTCGCCGGAAACTTGTTCTTTCGGAATGTCAGGGCACCGTAGCAATCCTCCCAGTCATCATCGATCTCCAGTTGACTGTTGTTGAAGCCATTGTCGAGGATCTGCTTGGCAAAGTCGCGTATGACGGTATCGTCGACCTCCGCCTTATACAGCGCCCAGGTGGACCATACCGGATGCTGTACCATTCGCTCGTCGGGGTATCCTGTGGGCTGTCCCAAGAAGGTCTTCACCGCATACTTGTGCGCAGCCTTGGCATCCTTGGCCACTGCCACATGGTAGACGAACTTGGCGGACGTGACACGCGGATCGTACGGCAGGGCACTGATGGCACTGAAGCACAGCTTGCCCTCGTAGCCCGCAGAGTTCTGGTCGATGAAGAGCGGCGTGTTGTTCTCCACATACAGGAAGACTCCAGCGCTGTTCAGCCAGTAGCGCTCGCCCACACCGAAGTTGTCCAGCTCCTTGGGCAGATACGAGTAGTTGCTGTGCGTCTGACGCTCCACGGGCCAGTAGTGCTGCTTCTGTTCGGGTCCGCTGAACCAATGGGTCGCTCCCGTGTTCAGGGAGAAGCAATCCCTGGGCTGCTGGCCCTGCAGCACCTGATCGCGTGCCACCCGCACATGGGTTACATCGCTGCCAGTGCCCACAGCGACTCCGCTCTTGACCAGCGTAAACTCAATGGTGTTGGTGCCATCGGTGAGCTGGTAGCCACCCTTTTCCGTCTCGACCAGATCGCTGGTCGTGGCAAAATTGTCAAAGGTCACCGTCTGCAGGCTCTTGTCGCCCTTCATCAGCTCGTACTGCAGTTTGTCGCCGCGTCGCAGCCGCACATAGATGTTGCTGTTGGGGAACTTGTAGCGCTGTTCGATGCTCTGGCAGGCACTGGCCACACTCCAGAGACAGCAGCCGGCTGCCACCAGGAGTAGCAAGTGTTTCGTGTGCATTCTGAAAGGTAGATCTCACTGGGAACGACTGATGAGCAGACAGCGCAGGTGGGAGTCTATATGCTTTTTATAGCCCGGGTGATAAGGAAATCGATTGAGAAACAGCGCAGAGCCGTGTGGTCCCATAGTACACTTAGCGTAGTCGTGACATACAAATAAAGCTCTTGAGAATTGTCAAGGCAGTGCTCTCAGTGTGGGAACACTTGAGAAAATCACGACTGATAACCTGCCCCAGATAAGCCCTAACATCTACGACTTGAATGATAGCCTAGGTAGCAGCTTGTATTATACACATTACTTAATTGATAGCTTTCCACTGTGATTGCAGTTCCCTAGCGGAAAGATAAAGATAGGAACACCCCGGGCATTCGTGGCATTCGTAATCAGTGACCAATGACTAAGTAGAACAAAATTTTCCAAGATTTTGAAGGACGTCAAACACTTGGGATAACAAAAGAATTTTATTGTATTGCATTGTATTTCGCAATTATTAGTTTCAGGTTTCCATTGTCTAGTAGTTTCCAAAAAGAAAATTGTTCAAGTTCTGGTGTTTAATTCAATTGGGATGCCAAGAGAAAAAAAATGTTTAAATTTAAACATATATATTTTAATTTATTTTTTTTTTTTGATTGTTTTAATACTTTTTAATCTATGTTCGGAGTTTTGGTTTATACGTATAACAGTGTGTGTAATAGTGTGCGTAAAATGTAACAAAATATTAACCAAAAATGGTGAATCCGTCAATCAGTTTGTTTGCTGAGAAATATTCACCCATTGCTGATCTGGTGGTAAAAGTAGCTAAATGCAGATGAGGTCTACACACTCACACAAATAAATATATATATAATATGTATGTTTATCTAGGGTGCCAGGTGGTTGTTTTCCCGCTGATCATCGTCGTTGCCTGCTTCGGAAATGTCTTCGGGTGGCGCCTTCTCCGGCTGTATTTCGTCCCGATACTCCAACACTTCCTTGGGCTTACCTAATATGTGTGTCCTGAAGAGCTCGTCTTCGTGCTCCTCGTCACTGTCGTCGTCGGCCATGAGGGCCACCCGCGAGTAGAGTTCACTGGAGCGCGCCGCCGTTGCACGCCGGCTGTAGACAATGCCCCCGGCCACGGCCACACCCATGAGGGTGAGCACCACGACAATCAGGAGCAGCACCGTTGTTCCCGTCATGTATTGCAGTGTCTGCTCGTGACTGGCCTCCTCCTCGGAGACTTCTACGACAGTGGCCATGCCCGTGCTGCGCACCACATAGGCATAGCAGAAGGTCTCATTGAGGGTCTTTCGCAGCTGACTGCCTGGCGCACAGGTGCTGCACTGGGCGGCCAGGGGCCCGTAGCAGGCCAGGCAGCTTTTGTGGCACACGGCGCATATCCGGCTCTGTGCCACCAGCAGTGGCGTTATGAGCGGGGAGTTGCGACGACGACGACGGTCCTCTGCCTGCAGAGGGTCCTGCTTGTCGTCTATGCTGTTGGAAATGTTGTGATGATCTGTGCCGATGCTGGTGGTACTGCCCTCTGTGCTGGCATCATCCAGTATATCATCCTGATCCTGTGCATCGTCATGGGGATAGGTATGCCTGGGGCACTGATCGTAGCAGAGGCCCTCGTAAATGTACGCCGGATCCTGGCACTCTGTGAAAAATGGGAGCGAGAGAAAACACACACACATTAGTAACTGTTGCATCTCTGTATCGGGGATAAGCTAAGAGATGGATTTACCTCAGAGACAGTGATTAATGGAAAAGAAAAGAATTGGAAATTAGTTGGTTAGCAGAGAACAGAATGGAACATGGAAGCTCAGCTCAACAGGGAATTGAAAGCTATGCCATAATTAAGCTGAGCTTCAGAGGAGAGAAAGCTTGAGAGATATAGATAAAATAGATTATATAGAAATGGCAGCAACAAAAGAGAACTTCTGTATGTATTGGAGATTGTTTTTGTTGGAATGGACACCTTTTTGGAATAGTATCGTATCTCTTTCTCTGAAACACATCTAATTTATTAACAACAAAAAATTCAAAAAAATGTTTGTTTTAGTTAAAGCAAGCGATCAGTCCGATAAAAACATGCTCGAAAAATTAGCAAGAAAAGGAGGCAGTGTGCGCAATTGTACGATATATGTTTGTGTGTGTGTACAGGACCAGGACCAGACCAAACCAAACCAAACCAGTGTTGGAAAGCTACTCATGAACATATGGAATTGAGGAGGTGACAGAGTGAAACAGTGTTATATAGAAGGTTAACGGTAACGAAATAAACGAAATTAGCAGTGGGTTAATGTCGGACTTCACTTTCCGTTTAAATCCAGAAAAGAGAGTGAACGAAAAAAAAAAAACAAAAAATACTTAGAGAATGGAAGGAAAATTTGTTGTGCGAAACTCACCTTGTCGTTCAATCAATTCTCAAATTCTCAAGGGGAAAATATTGTAATTCTGAAATGCAGTCAAAGCTCGAGAGCTTGGAAGAGTATGGAGGACTGAAATGAACCTCCGCGTACGATTGGCATGTTTTTTTTGTTTTGTTTGGAGCATGTTTCGCTTGCTTGAACTTAACTTTTTGTTGGATAATAAATTTGCTTCAGCTTTGGTGTTACTTTTCTTTTTACGTTTTCAATGCATTTATTAATTACTCATACAGTAGATATATATATTTATATTATATAGATAGATATATACACAAACATACATACAAAATTGGTTGAGTGTCTCGAATGACGCGAATGGCATTCTCAATTTCAATTTCATTTTCACTTTCTTTACAATTATAAAAGTTTTAATTTCATTTTTTCGTGTAAGCATTAATTTAGTTCTGTTTTTGTTTTGTTCCAATGTTATTTTACAATTTCGTTCATTAAATCTTTAAAGTTAATACGATTTTTGTTTATTATTGCTAATTGCTACCCCAGGCCCTAGTACCAGTTATTATTTGTATGCTTTAATTTTCTCCATTGAATTGTTCGTTTTTTAGTATAAGGCTTAAATATTAATTTGGCTTTTTTGTCTGCTAATTACTTGTGGATGAGTGATCGTGTCTCAGAGTTTATTAGAATTTTCCTCATCATTTTTTCCCTATGCTTGAAGATAAATAAGTACTGCATCCATTGTGCTTGTGTGCGTTTTTGATAGACAAGAATAGAAAATAATATTCGTATAGAGCGAAATGGGTTTTTGGATTTTGGAAATGGAAATCTATCTGCTGTTAATACGTGGTGTTGTTGTTCTGCATGTGTGTTTGTTTGTTTGTTTACTGGTTTTGGTTAATATATTTCCTTCTGCTAGTGTAAGTATAGTAAGTATATGCTTGAAGAATAAAAAGGTTGTTTGTTTCAACTACTATTCTGTTCGTTGAGAGAGAAATGCTAGTTCTTTTCTTTAGTTTCATTTATGTATATTCTTATGTAAAATGTGTGTTTTTTTTTGCTAATTACAACAACAACAAAAGAGTTATTCTTTACTTTTCTATAAAATTAACATTTGATATTGTTTAAGGTTTAATGTTTAATGCTTATTGTGCGGTTTACGATATGATTATTCATACAAAAGCAAAATGCAAAGACCATGGAAATCAGGTAATTGTTCAAGTAGAATTTTCGTTAAGTAAACTATGATTTGTACCGAAGAAAAGACTCAAAGAAAAAACCTAATAAATGATATGTTGCTGCTTTTTTGTTTATAAAAAAACGATTCTTCCCTTTTAGTTGGGGTTTTTCGACTGTGGCTTAAGAGAGAATTAAATATAATTATTGCACTCGCGTTGCCTTTTGATTTGTTGTTTTGTGTTTAATATACGATTTAATTAAGCAACAAATTTTTAACAAAGATATGTGTGTGTGTGTTTTGTGTGTTCGTGTGTGTGTGTGTGTGCGTTGTGGATAAAACAAAAGTTGATTTGTTCGTTATATAATCATTATTATTATTAAGTGTTTTTTGATGACTTATTTTTGATGACTTTGCGAAGAAGAGTTAAAGATTCTGTGTCATGTTGCAACTTTGTTGAAAACTGCAGGAACTTGTTTTTGTATAAATTGTTTAAGTATATTTATAATTATAATTAAATTTTTTATTGGTTTATTTTATTTATCGGTTGCTGCCTACGGTTTCATTATCCCCCTTCCACCCTTAGAATTTACGTTATTTTTTTTATGACCTTTTATCTGTTTTTTTTTTTTGTTCTTCGTATTACAAAAATTGTTTGTTTTTCCTTAAATACTAGAAACATTAGTTTTGGTTTATCTTTTCCCCTGTTCCAAGATTTTTTGTTTAGTTAATTGTTTTTTTTTTTTAATTTTAAGAAACAGTCTTTTACTATGAACTCTAAACTGTTGATGCGGTTGTTCTCTGCTCTCTACAATAATTACTCGAAATATAAGGACTCTCAAAGGGGCATAAAGGCGGAAAAGCATAAGCTGGAAAAGCTGTGGCGTACTGTTGTGGCTGTTCTGTTGCAAAACTACTTTCCTGGCTTGGCAATATCTGAAATAATGCATTTAGTTAGCAGATAAACTATCTATATACACACACACAGATCGGACAGATCGGCAGCAGCCAGTTGCAGCAGACAGTGCATCACAAAAAACTGTGCACAGGCAAAACAAAAAACTCCAAAAAAAAAAAAAACAAAACAAAAAACTAAACAAAATTTTAAAAAGAAATAAAACAATGTAAAATGTAAAACAATCAAATAAATTTGAACTAAACTCTTAAATTAAATTAAAATTGATGTAAATATATAAACTATATATATTTTGTTGTTTTGTAAAATAGATGCGTTTGTGTGTGTCTGTGTATAAATTGCTAAGAAAATAATACAAACAAAATTTGCTTTGTGCGTCCCTTGGTTCCTAAACGAAGCAATACAAAAAAAAAAATAGAACAACCTTTCTTTTCTTTTATCCTCCGACCACGCCTACAAATATGTATCTGTGTGTTGGTTTGTAAAACTACGCTTACATTTAAATTTAACTACAAAAATTTTAGTATATATTTTTTGGACTTGCAGTGATTTTTCCTTTTTTTTTTTTTGTTGTCATTCCTACTCTATTTTTCTTTTGTTTTTTTTTTGTTCAGCTGCCATCAAACTTTTAATTGGAATTTCTTTGTTCTCTCATTTTTTATACAGAGTTTCGATTTATATTTCGATTTTATACATCGATTTTTACCCTCTTTCTTTCTGTTTTAATTGTTTATTTTTTGTTGCTAAATTATCTAATGCTTTTGATGATGTTGTTCTTGTTGTTGTTGTTGTTGGCATGTTTAAAGTTTAGATAGAAGATTTGCATGATCGTAATAAAGAGTATTGACAAACCTAAGCACTTTCGATCGCTCCACTTAAGGCACGCAGCGGTGTTGCTTCGATCTTGTGTCATGCCCACATCGCCCACCTGCAAAGAAAATGAAACAAAGCAAAAAGAGAACATGGAAAATGGATTTATGTGAATAAAGATATATTTTTTGTAGATATAGTAAAGAGTATTTATTAAAAGAAGAAGAGTTTAGAGTTTAGAGATCCATGCACTATAGACGTGGACTTTTTGGATCTAAAACTTATTCTTTAGGGATCTGAGTGATATAACTGCTTCTTCTCTTTAGGAACTATTAGTTTTCGTAAAGGAGCCTACCACCTTTAGATCATGATTCCATGTTTAAAGTCCTTCCGTTTGGTATTAATTTTAAATCATATATCTTTTTATTCATTGCCTTCTACACAATTTCATGAATCGTTTACTGATACTTTAATTTCTATTTATTTAAAACTCTCAAGACTATTTTACGTTGTGGCTCTGGTACACCCATTTTATAGCTTAAATTGTTCTTAAAATCTGTTTAAGTTTTGTCTGTGGTTTTTTTTTTGGATAAAAGTTTTCCCCCCATTTTCGCTGTCTGATTCCGCCACTTGGACGAGTACGAGTATTCCTAGTGCTACTCATAGTTGTGGTTCATTGCATGTTGCCGCACTGTCTGGCATTTTAAGTACTTATGTATGTATGGGTGTATGTCTGCCTCCTGCCTCGTGCCTCAGTTGTGTCTCCGTGAGTGTGTGTGTGTTTATTTATGGGCTGCCCTTCCCAAAAATGTCTGTCCTCCGGTCTTTGATGTGCCTATTCTCTGTCCTCTGATTCTCCGACCCGTTCGTTGGTATCTAAGTTCACATGCAATGACGTCGCGTGCAGAGAGCGCCAGAGAGCGGGACAAAGGGTTTAAAAAACTGTTTGTTATGCAAAAAGAAAAGTTTTTTTTGCTGCCAGTCCAAGCGGCAGGACATAAAAAACTAAGGTCACTGCACTCTTCCTTTATTACGGGCACGGGCACATCCTTTTTAACCCCAGAATGCAAAAAAAGGCCAAGAGGACGGCTTTTTAAAGGCACAATAGGTGCCAAAAGGTTAAAAAGGGGTTGCCTGCCCCCCCCCGGGCACCGGTGCCTGCAGCACTTGAACGCTTGGTTCGTTCCTTTCGTTAACTCCCGAGGAAATATGTAAAAATTGGTGTATTTTATGCCCTGCTGCCCCTGACACAAGCGAAATCTTGGCCACGCTGGCTCTCTGCCCAGTGCCGCAAAGGAAATTTCCTGGAAAATGGTTGCCAAAAAAAAATGGAATTAAGATGCAGCGAACAGAGACCAAAGTATATGCTCGACGAGGAGCTGGTGGTATGCTAAGTATTTGCAAATTTATGGGACCTATTGAGGGAGTATTTTGCGCAAAGGAGTTACCTCATTTTAATAACAAGAAAAGAGAGTAGAGAAGAGAAGAGATGCATGCTGCCAAAATAAACTTAAACTCAACTTGAAACTCAAACTCGAAGGAATAAAGCTACCTGCCACACACAGTTTGCAAAGCATTAGATATAGTTGTAGAGCGACTGCCCATATATCATAGTAAATATATGTATATCAAGAAAGCCACATGCAAGCACGCAATGTTGTGCCCCGATTCGGATGCGGATTGGGATCGCTATCCGACCAACCATCTACGAAGCACTGCAAAACCAAAAAATCAAAAAAAAAAAAAAAAAGAAACAAAAAGCCAGTAACAATGTAAAACCAAACTACAAAGGTAATGATGGGGTGAAATACAGTGAAAGCTCCTCTAAAAGAAAAAAACCCTTTGCATTTTAGATAATTCTTTCTTGGAGCAACTTTTTTATCGGTGCGCAACTCTTCTATTAGTTTGGGAGCTCTTCAAGTCTTTCTACTGGCTGTTGCACACATTTCCATGGTTACTACTCCTAAAATTTCATTAAAACTCCTGCAAATTCCACTCAAAGGAGCCTCCACTGTATGCATAACTTGATTGGAATGCAATCTGCTTGTGCGTTGAGTGATTCATAGCTATGCATGCAGCCCTGAGATAAGAGTATTCCACGCTACAAGTTGCAATTACATCAGCGCTTGCGCTTGCAGTTGCAGCTGCAACCACCGCATCCTGCGTCGGATGTGAGGATAACCCAGTAAAGGATAACCGTAAGCAAACCACTCACCTGCTGCATATTCCGCCATTGGCCGGTGACCTCGTACTCGATGTCATTGTGTGCCATATCGTTGCCATATAAATTAAATTGATTCTGTTGGTTGACATTCGCTTGGTCCTCCGGCTGTGCGGGCGTCTCCGTGCCATAGAATATCATGTCCCATTGTGTGATTTGTGCTGCAAAAGTCACGGTAGAGCGAGAAGAGAGAGGGGAGAATTGGAAATGCATTTAGTTATTGCCATAGCAACCCATAGAAATATAAAATGTGTAAAAAAATAGATACAAGAGATACGAGAATACTACATGAAAATCTATACAAAATCAACAGCAAACATCAAATGGAAAATGAAAAATATTGCACAATTTTCTATGATATATTGCAGCGATATTCGAGTTTGCAATTTGCGGGTGCAAACAACTGAAGTGAAGGGCCAATAAATCTGCCAATATACGAGTATATCAAGTATATCAAAAATCAAGTGTCGAAGGCTAAATGCAGCTACAAAAAAAAAAAAAAGAAGAGAAGAGAATAACCCAAAAGCAAGAGCTGGAAAAATCATTTTTAAAGTTGCACTTTTGATTGATGCTTGCTATAGCAGCCAGCAAGTGCTGCCACTCAGTGGCTGTCAAACTTGAATTTTGACAAGCACCCTAAAAAAAATAAAAAGCAAAGGTTGAAACGAAACGGGAGCAGCTACTCCCTAACGAAAAGAAAAACCATAAATGACAACCAAAAAAGTAGTTTCTACCATTTGGTCCATTGCTGTTCTTCCTGGCATTCCCCTGAGCGGCGGAGGAGGAGAATGAGTCTTGGACTTCCACTTCGACGGGTGCCATGACCCCAGCGGCGGCCATTAGCAGCTGCTGCTTCTTGAGTATCTTCTGATCGGGCAGAAAGCTACTCCCTCCAGCGGGTAAATCAGGCAGAAAGCGACTCCCTCCAGCTGGCAGATCTTCCGGCTGAAGAGGCTGCTGCATCTGTGAGGATGGCGGCGGCACCGATGGCGATTTTTTGGTATTCCCCTGACGACTGTTCCCCCCCGTTGTGGGTTTGAACATATCCACCTCGAACTGCTTGCCCTGCTTGCGCGGTTGGTTGTTGCTGTTGGCTTTGGTCTTTGGTGCAGTGCTTTCGTAGGGCTCCAGCTCCGGGAATATCGCCTGTATCTTCTCGTATCGCTCAAAGAGTTTGGGTATACGCGAGTCGGTGTCCTGTCCCTTGACCTGTTTGGTCGCCTTTACAGGCAGATTCTGCGAAGCGGAGGAGTTGCGTCCCCCACTGTTGCTGCTGCTGCTGCTGCTACTGCCACTGGAATTGATCTCCCCAACAACCTTGCGGCCCTTGTCCTCGTAGGAGGAGGACTTCTCTCCCGAATTGGCCTTGGGTCGCGGTGTCTGCACTCCATTCCTGTCCTGTTTGTTGGCCTTCGCCTGCTGCTGCGATATGCGATAGTATTTATTTCTGCTGGTGGTGCTGCTGCCGCTGCCGCTGCTGCTGGCTGCTGTGGTGCTCTGTATGTTCTGCTCCTTTCGGTTGCCTCCTGCATTGTTATTCTTGCCATTCCTCTCCTTGTTGCTGCCACTTTCCCCGCCCTTGGGCTTGTTGGCCTTGTTATTGGACTTCTGATTGTTCCCTCTGCTGTTGCTGTTGTTGTGATTATTCTTCCCAAGTATCACACCATACGTGGCCGAGATCTGCTGATAGCCCTGCTTGATGGGTCCCGAATTAATCAAAGGATTATTCGTCACAAAGCTGGACTTATTCGGCGTTGATTTTCCGCCCAGCGGCAACTTGGCCCCATTCGCCGGTGTGTTGCCAAAGTTATTCGGTGATATCCGCGGATACTGCGGCGAGTAGATCTGATGGAGATTGCTGGTGGTGCCACTGCTGCTGGTATTGGGCGTGGTGGCCTCTGCACTATTTGCACGCGGCACCGAAATGGGATCATTGGGATCGATGGTCAGTGTGGTGCCGTAGAAGATCAAAGACCACTCTCTGAGCAGAGCATGGCCTGTGGGTGTTTTTTTTTTTTTTTTGGGTGAGGGGAAATGAGTTCCACAAAAGCGCAGCATGTAAAACGTTTCGTTGTTTAAAATATAAAGGAAACACACAGACACTCGGCGTTCAGTTCAGTACATACCCATATAGCGACCCTCATTGTGAATCTCCAGCTGCCAGTTGCCACGCGGCGACTCGCCCCAGGTATGCACCGACATGAAGGGCCACTGATTGAAGCCACTGCGCGAGTTGTCATGGACACTGGATAGTAGGGTGATAGTAGCGGTATTATTTGGGTGAAAACATATTTTTTCCAAAAGATAAATCCTTACCGCGGCGTTAGCAGCGTCACACTGGTGTTGGCTGGCGACCTTAGATAGAGCTGAATGTCGCCTCTTCGCTGGGATGTTAGCGTTATCTTCGCCTGGACATGCTCCAAGTAGTTCACAGAGCGGCAGTGTGCGACAGTCAGCTGGAGCGTGATGTGTGTGCGCGGCGGAATGACCCTAAACGAGGCAGACAATAAAAAAATCCCATATTTAGTATGCCAATGATATTCCGTCCCCGCAGAGACTCCCTTCGCTTACTTGTCCACATGGGGGGCATTGATTTCGCAGCGTTGCTGCTCTGGCACTGTTTTCCAGTCGCGTGCCACGCGCACCATCTCAGCGGCGTCCATCAGGCCATAGCCAAAGGAGTGGCTAACCCGGCGGCCCACTCCGTTGCGCGACCAGCTGGGATCCTTGAGGTTTGCTGGCTTGGCGGTGCGCACCACAATGTGCTGAAGGTCGCGCCATGTGAGGTTCTGATTCGATTGCAGGACCAAGGCGGCAATGCCGGCGGCCAGCGGGGCCGATGCGGAGGTGCCCGTGTGCGAGACGGTGCACGAGTGATGCAAGTCTGTGGTGACCACCTGCTTCTCGCCCTGCCCGCCGCTGCTGTAGGTGGTGGCCAGGGTGGAGCTGCACTTCTCCGAGTACCAGGGCACATGGCCCTCCTCGGTGGCACTCGATATGGACAGCGTCCAAATGGAGTTGGTGTAGCCATCGCAATTGCAGTTATCCTGCTCCCGGCCACCGTTGCCCGACGCCCAAATGAAGATGCTGCCCTTGCCGCCACGGCCCTTGGTGGTGCCCTCGATGAAGGCGCGCGAGGCCAATTCGCCGGGTCCGTCGACCGTCTTGCCATCGTCGTCCGGTCCCCACGAGGCGCTGTAGATGTCAATGTGCTGCGGATTGAGCGAGAGCGAACGCGCCTCCACAGCATCGGTCACATCACCGTCCAGCATCCGCACCCCGCCCACACTTGCCCCATACGCAATGCCCACCGCACAGAACGAGTTGTTCGCCGTGGCAGCCACCTCGCCAGCACACCGTGTGCCATGCCGATTCGAGTCGGTCATGTCATAGTGCGGCATGGGATCATCATCGTGGCTGTTCACATCATACGAGGCTTTGCGATCCTTCAAGGCACAGAGCACGAAGTTCGAATTAGTTTCCTTTGGGATGAGCATAGTTTGCGGTTTACTTACATAGTTCTGTTCGATATCTGGATGATCCGATTCGAGGCCATCGTCCAGTATGGTGACAACCACACCCTTGCCGGTTATTCCCTGCTTCCAGGCGGGTATCACATTCATATCGAGGCCACCGCCGCGATTCTAGGGGATTGGGGATAGAGAGACAATCATTTTGATTTGCTGTTTGGGTGGATCTGTGTTGTTGTTGTTCCCTTACCAAATACCACATCTGCGGCCATTTGGCATCGTCAAAGGGCATGGCATCCACCTGCGACATGGCACGCGATGAGGTTCTGGAGGGTCGCATGCGTATAAAGTCTCGCTTGGCTCGGGACTTGGCCCTTTGCTGTTTGGCCCAATGCACGCGCTCATCGTCATCGAGACGCGTCTGGTGATGTGTGGCAGGTGTGAGGGAACGCTTCGAGACCTTGTGATGTGCAAAGTGATAATGATCCTCAAAGATCTGCCAAAGTAGTGCAAAAAGGGTGGAAAATTGTATTAGAAATTGCTTCTAAAATTAAATTAAATTCACAATAAACAAAGCAATACTAAAAAATAAGGTAATATTTTCCAGAAACTTCATTCAAACTGAAGCGAACTTCAGTCTTGATTTATTTTTGTGCTGCATAAAGTCAACTTTTTCGTGCTCCAAACAGTTTTTTTCGCTCACAATGGAGGGCTTTCGTCGCTTGGCTCAGAATCTGTTCACACCCAAGGAAATTACACGCTTTCTGGCCATGAAGAACCGCCTGAGTCAAAGGTTTTTCAATATGGCAAAACTAAAGACAAATTTTGGCACACAATTTCTGGGCACTAACCTAAAGTCACGTTTCTTCTCAGCGCATAAAGAGAGTGAGTGGTAAACCCCATCGAAAGTTGATAGAACTCTACTCTACCCAAAAAAAAATGCCCACAGCAACAGCAGAAGATTGTCCCAAACAGAAACCCGCACCCGAGTGTGAGGATGATTATGGTTACAAGCCAGGGCCACCCTACGAGCCAGGCGACACACACTACTGGTATCCGGATCCGGAGTATCTCAAGGAATATGCCAGCGTGGTCATGTATCCCACCGGGCATCAGTGGCAGCAGCGGCCCAAGGCAACGGGCAAGACGCCACCGCCAGTGGATCGCACATTTCGCACAAAATTCATCAACTTTGGGCCCGCCCATCCGGCGGCGCATGGCGTGCTGCGTATGATCCTGGAGCTGGACAACGAGACGGTGCTCTCGGCGGATCCGCACATTGGACTGCTGCACCGCGGCACTGAGAAGCTGATCGAATACAAGACCTATGTGCAGGCATTGCCCTACTTTGATCGCTTGGACTATGTCTCCTGCATGGCCAACGAGCAGGCCTACGCCCTGGCAGTGGAGAAACTCCTGAACATCGAAGTGCCACGTCGTGCGCGCTTCATACGCACTATGTTCGCGGAGATAATGCGCCTGACCAATCACACAATGGCCATATCGTCTTCGATCTTGGATTGTGGTGGCATTACGCCGCTCTTCTGGTTGTTCGAGGAGCGCGAGAAGCTCTACGAGTTCTCGGAACGTGCCTCGGGGGCTCGTCTGCATGCCGCCTACATCCGTCCGGGTGGTGTGGCCTCCGACATACCATTGGGCTTCTGCGAGGATCTGTATTACTTCATCAATCACTTCAAGGATCGGCTGGACGAGGTGGAGGATCTGGTCACAGAGAATCGCATCTGGCGCATGCGCAACATCGACATTGGGCGCATCACAGCGCACGATGCCCTCAATTACGGAGCCACGGGTCCCGTGCTGCGGGCCTGTGGCATCAAGTGGGATCTGCGCAAGCAGCAGCCCTACGATGCCTACGACGAGGTGGACTTTAATGTCGTTGTGGGCTCCAATGGCGACTGCTACGATCGCTATCTCGTCCGCATGCGTGAGATGCGCGAGTCGCTGGACATCATCCTGCAGTGTATCGAGTGCATGCCACCGGGTGAGATCAAGGTGGACGATCGCAAGATAACACCCCCACAGCGTAGCAACATGAAGACAGGCATGGAGGATCTCATACATCATTTCAAGCACTTTTCCCAGGGCATCTTTGTGCCGCCCGGCCAAACCTACACCGCTGTGGAGTCGCCCAAGGGCGAGTTCGGTGTCTATCTGGTGTCCGATGGCACCACACGTCCCTATCGCTGCAAAATACGTCCGGCATCGTACGCCCATCTGGCGCTGATGGCCAAGCTGGCGCCCAATCATTTGCTGGCCGATGTGGTGGCCATTATTGGTTCCCTCGATATAGTCTTTGGCGAGATAGATCGCTAAGAGAGTCACTCAAATTTAATTACTACATGTACATGGTACAACTACATACATACATAGATTGCTGTGCGTGTCATTCCAATTAAAATTTGGATATTTATTGTTTGGAATATTCATGCAAAAATTCCACTGATTTACTCTTCCTCTCTCTCTCTCTGTGTGTTTTCCGCTGTGCGTGCCGTGCCACATGTTTGCGCCAACAATTTTGCTTGTACATTTTGTTGTTAATTGAATTTCATTGTTTCGGGCAAATTCTTTAGCAAATTGTAATTTAAAGGCTGCGCACAAAAGGCCAGAAACAATTTGTAATTACAATAACCATTATGCTGACAGCATTAGTTATGTATGGCCATGCCATCGCTTGGAATTTAAATCTTGCTGCCAGGCCAAGGATTCTCCAATTTTAATGGCTATCCTTTGGCTTGCATGTTGCATCCATACATTTATGCATGCATGGTAAAAAGTTTTTGGGAAACTGCTTAAAAATTCCATGTCGGCACTTGTCGGCACTAGGCAGTCGGCAGGCAGTATCTGTGGTGTTGACAGTCGAAAATTGGGCGCCTTTCACACTGCCAAAAACTTGCACATGACTGCTGCTTAATTGCAAGTGTATTGCTGCTCTCTCTCGCTCTCTCTCTGTCTGGACCCCATAAACAGGGGCCAGCGTATTACAAAGCACCTCCCATACATACATTTGAACGCATCATTAAGCGCTTTGCAAACATCATTCGAGAGTCAGGGACTAGGGGCCCATGGCAGGTTATGTGCCATGAACGGTAAGGCAGTGGGAGAAGGAGAGAGTGCAGATATCTATGCTGCGCTACGGAATTTATTCGTTGAAAAGCGACAAAGAGAATGCCCGAGCATGCTCGACAACAAAATACACGCCTTGTGCGTGACGGTTCTACTCGCAGATCGACTGCCGTATCCATTAGCAGGAATATGTAAAGTGATCAGAGCTGTGCACAGCTGTGCCTACCCAGAGGTCTCACCTAACACCTTAACATAGCTTGGAAGGCGCAGGCCTGTAGGCCAGTGGGTCTTCAGGTGAACGCCTAAAAGTATGCAGCACGCAATTTATTTATGCCTGCCCCTGCCACAACAGCAGCAGCAGAGCAGCAGCAGCAGCGCACTATGGTCCCAATGACCACTTTTGTTGGCCAAAACCCATTTTTCAAAAGTTAAAAAATAACCGTGGTTTTGATCACTCTGTATTAGAAAAAGAGTGAGCTTATAAGTTGCGTACCAGAAATTTCCATAGATGGCGCCACATTCGCAAAATCTGCTGTGCAACCCAGCTGTTCTTGCTGAACAGCACGCGCAGTGAAAAAGTGGCAATTTAATTACAGTTTTAAATCTCTCATAAATTGAAAAATACGATTAACCGATAAAATTTTTTGATTGAATCTTAATTTGTTGGGTTTTTACTACGTGTTTTGTATTGTTAACTGTATCTCGTAGTTGTGATGTCTTAGTACTTTTAGGTTAAAATGAGTCCTTTTTTTTAGCCAATTTTGATTGAAAACTGATTTTTGAAAACGTATATTTAGTGAGTCCCACCTAGTCCCACCTTGAAATCTATTGTGTGATGTAGATTAATAAATTCTTGTTGAAATGTATATAGTAAGAAATACCACATTTGACCACAAATCTTAAAATTTTCATTAGTAGAATATAACCTCAAAATCAACAATACAGAGTTGTTTGGCGTTCTTTTTTGTGCTAAAACAATAAGTTGAATGCCCAGAGAAGGCTTAATTGATTCGCAAGGCTGTACAGAACCCAGTAAGAAAACCGCAAACTTTCTGACCCAACGAGCACCCTGGAAAACGCGTTTTCCACCCTGACACAAGGGTTTTTCCCTAGGTGGCAACAATTACAAAAATTTTTTGTTTTCAAATCAAAATTTGTGTTGTTTTTATGCGTGCCACGCCTTTATAATTTTAATAAAAATTAGTTAAACTAATTTCTTAATAAAACTGTTATAATTACTTCCTATTCCCTATCATTAACTATTTTTTAATATGCATTATCAAAAAAAAGGCGGTGCCACACCCATTTTTTTTTGTAAATCTTCTTCCTATTGATTATATATATACGATACAAGAAACTAATTTGAAAAATCTTGTTTCGTTTTCGAGTTATTAATTTTGGCCAACAAAAGTGGTTGTTGGGACCATAGTGCAGCGGCAGGATGTCGCCGTCGATTTGGCAACACCGGAAGCGGCTCTCCCTCTTCTCATTTCCTCCATGTCTGTGTGTCTGTGTGTGTGTGTGCTTGGCATGTGTTTGTCATGAATGGGATGCGACTCGAGCGTTTGGGGGCATACATACGTGTTGACACCGGCCTCCCCATGGATGGGCTCCCTTACCCCTGCCCCATCACTCCCCTCACATTCATGCCACGCGGCTGGGCAACTACTAAAATTTTAATTGCTGCCACTCCTCTATTCCTTTCCCCCTCTCTCTCTCTCTCTCTTTGTATCACTTCAGCATCCGCTCGCTCTCTCTCTCTCCCTCTCTTTCTATGACTCTAACATCCGCTTTACCACTGCCGCTTGCTCTCCCTGCCGCTGCTACTCTATGTATCTTCCTGCAGCCTCCTCTCTCTGTATCTCCCAGCAGCTTCCTGTCTCTATCTCCGCCCCTGCGTACGTACGTGTGACCCCCTTCCCAGGCCACAAAGCTCGTTTAGTTTTTATGCTTCTCGTGGAGTGCCTCATCCGGTAGGGGCCCCCCTGTCCCTCTTCCCCCTTCCGCTGCAACTCTCTATCAAGTTTATTAATTTATGCAGCACACACACACACACACACACACACACGCACGCACACAGATACACAGACACTTGAATAGATTTGTTTACTTTCCGCCTGCTGCCATGCATATGCAATTTTTGTCCAACATTTTAATTGAGTTTGGTGGAAAAAGTTAAGTTAATACCTCGCTCTCTCGTGTCCTCGTCCTCCTACTCTCTCCCAATAGACAGGCAGACACACACACACAGCCAGGCAGCACGCACACACGCATGTGGTAGAGCAGCCCAAGGGTATCATCATAAAACGGGAAGCAGGAAGGGCTGTGCTATGATAGGCGAGGGTATGGATACTCTTGCGATATTATTGTGGAAATTATGGCTATGCCTAGGCATCCATCAGCCATAATCGAAGCTATGCCGAATTCGCTGAACGAATAATATTCCACAATTTCTCACTACTTGTAGGTTTATATTTTGAAACAGTTTGTATTGGACCTAGATTTTCTATGAACCCAGAACCCTCGAACCCAGAGGGTTTTATTTATTTTATTTATTTAAATGGTGAATCAGAATATTTGTTTGAATTTACATTCCATCATACCCGCCCCATTAAAGGGTATTCAAACACGCTAAACCTTCACGTGTGGTTAGGACTGGCCATGGGCTTAGTTTTAATTGTTTTGTTGCGGTTTCAATTAAAATTGACTTATGGAACGACACTCGCCTGCTGCTCCTGCTGCTCCCGCTGCTCTTGTCGCCTCCTGCCGCTCTGGCTCCAATCAAATTTAAGTGCCACAGCATTGCACGTAGATACATTAATAGCTAGTGGGGGAGATACAGCGGCGTTCCGCTTTTATGTGCCAGAATATTAACTTTTACAAGCCATTGGACGCTCTCTCAGTGGAGACTCATCAGAGTGAATGAGTGACGTGCAAAGCATATGGTTTATTCCCCAACGAAGGGGACACACTCCTGGATTACATTTTCTAATATCCAAAGCTGTTTATTGAACGGGGACTTCTCCCCTCTCGCATGCTGCACAGCAAACCGCAAGAGCAAGCTAATTTTCTAGTGCATTTGTCACCGACAACAGACGATGGGCGATGGATGGACATGAAAAGCAATAAAACCACGAGAAAATAACCAAATAGAAAGACAGACAGAGAGAGAGAGAGAGAGAGAGAGAGGAGAGGAGAGTTCTATGCTGGTGAGAAAGAGCGCGCTAAAGCGCTAGAGCTGGCGGGATATGTTAAGCTGTGAATAATGCCCGCTCTTCCGCCATGGAGTAGCTTTTAAAATTGTCAACAATTTAATTAATCAACTCGTGGATGCAGCCAACGGATGGAGGCGTCTCTGATAAATTGCTGAAACTGGGAGGAAGAATTAGCTGGAGGACCTTTGCAACCCATGCGGCATCATGGGTGGCAATGTGACTTGAATGCGGTTTATATATATGCATATACACATAAAAAAAAAGGACACAAGCCCTGCGCTCAATTGCCAATGAGAATGGTTAATTTCTTAACACCGCAAATGAAGGGAGAGCAGGAAGCAGAGACCCCCAGGCAGTAGGATCCTCCAGGTGGGAGACAGCCAGCCAGCCAGACAGGAAGCAACAACGAGGACGACCCTACTCGTATATAAATATGTGCACCATTTAATTAGCTGCTAATTAATTTAGACCCAGCTGCCACTCCAGTCAAGGCAAAGCATTTCCACCACCCCCCCTGTCAGGGGAAATGCAGTTTGGATTTTCAATTAAGTGGGCGGATGCGGAAAGTCGCTGGAATATGGGCATAAGTAGTCTCGTCGACTCGTACTCGTACGAGTCCTTTGCTCCCAAACAGGGAAATATTACACAGTGTTAACGCCTGTGACAGGTGCTGGTGAGAGGCTTGAAGCACTCTCTCTCTCTCTCTCTCTCTCGGGGGCGCCACCAAGTGAAATGCCGTGAAAGCGCACGGCGGCTACGAAAGCTGTAAACTGTCACACAGGAAAAGCTGTGTGTGAAAAAGGTGTCAACAGCAGCGAAAGGTGACTGCGGGAAGTGCCCTGATCCCCACTCCCCACTCCCACACACCCCACTGCCAATCTCCGAAAGTGTTAAAAATAATTCAACAGTCATAAAAAATATGCTGTTGCATTGTCAAGCGGGAGTTTAAAGATTTAATGGCAGCGAAATATTTTTATATTGATCCTAGGATTTTTCATATATATGTATATTCTTTGTGCATTTCGGTTGTATTTTCACGCGGAATAAATCTCTTTAAGCGTTTTTTTTTTATCAGAAAACCTTTTTTAGCGAACTGACTGATGGGCACTGCTGCATGTTGCGCGACACTTGTGAGCGTAAATGAGGATT